TCTAACCTCTGGAACTAAGAGTTTTGAATGCAGGGGGACGGGTCACCACCGATACTACCCGTCCAACGAAGAGGGTATCGGTTGGTGCTGAAGCAGTGGAGGACGCTCCACTGTGTACCTGCATCAAACGCAATGACTCCACTGGTTCCCCTTGCCGCTGTTGGTTTGTTTCCATGTTGGTTCTTCGCATGATATCCCCCAAAACAGGTTTCCTTGCACGGCTAAGTAATCAGTAATTGTTAAAACACCTTCAAGTACCCGGACTTTTCGCCTTTTGGTTCACTCTTTCCTTTCCTAGGTCTGCTAAGTATTCAGTAACTAGTTTTCTGCAGTCACGCGTCAACTTTTGTTAAAACACCTTCAACTTGCTCGGACCTTTCGCCATTCCGTTGAGCCATTCCTTTCCTTGGGGAACTGAGTTAACTGAATACAATTGTCAGAGTGTGTAATTTTTGGAATCACAGGGACCCTTTTTGATTGTTTTTTGGTGTTTGTTTTTTCGGTCGTTACAGCAGGGGGGTGCCAGGGACCGTGCAAGTCTGGCACTAACAAAGACACTTGCACTGGTCTGTGATATAGCTCCGGGACGCTGGAGCTACCTACGAAGTTGTTTCTGCACTTAGTGTCTCTGCAGTAAAGGGCTAGTGCGTCGGCGATTTCGTGAGCTTGGGACCTGAACTTGAACTTGCCTTTGGAGGGCTTAGAGGTTTTTGGATTCACCGTTTTTGGAATTACCGTGTTTCATAAATTACTTTGTCTCGTAGGTTTTTCACTTAGGCCGGCATGTGGCAACCGCTTTCAAATCAGTACGCAAAATCTCAAGTGTGTGTGTGTGACAGTACACCAATGCTGCGAGGGGCAGAAGTCCGTGTAAATGAGGAGAGTGAGCGCCGAAAATTCGACCAGCGTTTGTTGGTCTCTCCCTCGCGGCAAACCCCTCCAAGTGCACCCTCTTCGACTTTTGACTTTTGATGAAGTTTTCCAATAAACATGGGTCGCTCGTGGTTAGGTGAAAACACTTCACCACAATCACACGCCAAAAGGCTCTTGGGTTCTGGTTGCAGAGCCTCTAAGATGAGAAGGAGCTGTAAGAGCTCTGGGGGGGTTTTCCGAGCAGGGGAGCTGCACGAGCTCAGACACGTTTTTGGCTGCGCAAGACTCAGTGCGCAAGACTAATTGCTGAGATGGGCTGAGGCATTGGAGGCGGCTGTTTGCCACGAGCGCCAACATCACAGGCAGCTGCCTGTGCGTTTTGCATGTTGTCTTGCGATCCTTGTTGTTAGGCTGTAAGAGCCTCAGCAGGTTCTCTTGAATCGTCATGCGACCCAGGTTTTGAGGGCGCCCAATGAAATAGCGGACGCCGCACGCCGCACCTTCTTCACCCAAAAGCAATAGTAACGTGAAATGTTGTTCTACACTTCTCAACCCACGAGGTGCGCTTGAACATGACATGGGTGGGAGGTTTGTGTTTCGCTTGAGCGTAGGCGGGGGCTTTTGCAAGGATCTGACCCGGCGTTCTCTTCAGGTCGGGCATCCGTTTGACAACAAGGCTTGTATTGTTCTTTCAATGGCAAGATTCGAGCTTGACAGGTCAAGCATTACTTGGTTTTGCTTTTTGTTGGGCATCAGGTTGGAAGGCTTGGGTTTGTCCAGTTCATTTCATAGACGCACGAGAAATGTTGGACATTTGGCAAAGCAGCAACACAGTGTGTTGCCACTGGTTTTTGCATGTCTGAGAACTTATTTTACAGGCGCGCCGAGCCTTGGCCCTGGCGCGCTGCCCGACTAATGTCATAGCAGCATATCCTACGCATGCGTTTGGCTTTGGAAGAACCATTTGTTTAACATTTCTTGTTTGTCTAACATTTCATGGATTCTCTCCATACCCTCCCATCACATTGTGCTTTGATTCTAAACACAAGCTAATTCTAGATCTTCTACCCACCCTCCCATCAGAAATCGATTGTGGTTTGATGCTAATCACAAGCTAATCCCGGATCTTCTGCCCACCCTCCCATCAGAAATCCATTGTGTTTTGATGCTAATCGCAGGCTGCTTCTAGATCATCCTCCCACCCTCCCATGAGAAATCCATTATGTTTTGATGCAGATCACAGGCAAATTCTTGAACCCATCAGAATTCCATGGTGGTTTGATGCTGATCACAGGCGATTTCTGGATCTTCTGCTTAATAGCCTTTCAAATGCTGTCCCAACCGGGGTTTGCCGCGATAGATCCTTAATGGTGGTTTGATCCAGACCGGCAGGAGAACAAAACAACATGCTTCGCCATAGGATTTGACACCGTTTGAAGACCATGTCTGTGTGCTGCGTTCGGGAACCTGGTCAAGAGTTGAAAAGAAGGTTTTGGCTTTTTAAACTCGGGTACGCTACCCCAAAAGCAAAATTGCTTTGCTGTGAGAGATCCCCAACGTCTCACTCCTGAAAGCTGCAACGTTTTCGATGGATATTGCAATTAAAGTTTGCCATTTCGCATGGTGACGTGTTAAGCGAGACATGTGTATTCCGCAGTCAAGCATTTTCTTACACAGTCGCCTTTTCTCATGTAGTGGACGACGTACAAGGCAGAGCATGCGGAAGGTGATGGCAGGCCATAGAAAAGGAGAAAGGTAGTTCCACGGGGTGCTTGCCTCAACCCCACTTGCCTTAGAGGACTTGGGCGCCGGACCACCAAAAAAAGCTAGAAGCGAGTTCGATTGGCAAGCCAGCCGGAAGAAGGCTCGCGGCATTGCAGCGAGAGCCATAGAGTTCAAAGACGCACTGCGCAAAGGCAGGGTTAAGAAAATAAAAGACAGGATTGTCATAGAGGGTCAGCTAGAATCGCGATTCGATGCCTGCTTCAGCGAGGCGAAGAAGAAATGAAGCGCTTCATGACGAAAGTCCTTGGGTTTGATGATGGTACTGATTGCCTGTGGCGGGCGCTCTATGCTGGGGATCGCACAGTTTCCGCCCTTGATGTTGACCGCATTTATACCAGTGTTCCTATGGCTTGGCAAGACTTTTTGCTTGGGGTTCAATCATGTAGCCAGATGGCCTTCATTGTCAATCTACTGCGGCGCTTCTTGCCTTTTGTTTGTGGTTTGCGTTTGCGTGTTGTCTTTTCGGTTCTCTTCTGTTCCTTGGGTCTTCCTTTCAAATACGCATTCTCCATTCTTTTCAATATAGCCTTGCTTTTGTTCCCTTAGCTCCAGACGTCCGGGGCTGGGTGCCTAGAGATGCCGGTCGCCTGGAGGCGCCGGTCTGGAGGCGCCCGTCGCCTGCAGGCGCAGAGTGCCGGGCGCCTGTTGTCTGGAGACGCGGGTCGCCTTGCGAGTCTGCAGACGCCGGTCGCCTGGAGGCGCCGGGCGTCTGGAGACACTAGAGACGCCGGGTGCCTGGAGGCGCCGAGTGCCTACATGGCTGCTATATATACAATTCTCGGCGCCCCTGCGAGGGTGTGCGTCGCATACAGTCGTGTGTATTAGGTTTTAGAAACACCTGAACTTCCATTAAATCGCCAGCTGAGTCTACAGAGGTTGACAAGCACGAAGTTGCTTCTGTATTGATTTCAGGTCTCTTCGGGAGCCTCAGAAGGCGGAGGCGCATGTGAAGGAGGCCGAGAGTCAGATGGTGTTGTCTCCTTATGGTTGAACAGTGACCCAAACGAGAACACAGGTCGCAGAGGCTACAACAGGTCCAACATGTCGAAAAAGCCAGCCTGATGCGCAAGAAATAGCTTGGTCGTAATATGTGCACCGAATCCCGGCAGCGCCCCCGCGCAAGGGATCGCTCAGCAAAGTGTGTTGGGATAGCTTCGTGGGATGGAAGCAGCGAGGAGCTTTCGAAGTCCTGATGTGATGAAGCTGCACCCATGGACAGCTTTGTCAATTCTGGCTGCTACGGGGAGGTTGTCAATCTCGTTTGGTCAGCCAATACCAGACACAAATCGTTCAAGCAGCAGCAATCATGCTGACCTGTGATTGGGAATTGAATGGAGACGCTATGTCTGAAGCTGAAAAGGCATCTTTCCTGGCAAAGCTGTCGAAAACATGAAACGGCGTGCATGGGTTCTGAAGTCACGACGTTTTCGGGAACAAGGCTTTAGTCACCAAACATGTGTGTGCTCTCATATGTGCTCACATGTTTTCTCTTGTGGTGCTGTTATGTGTGAACTTTCATGTGTGTGGTGTCATGCGTCAGTTTTCCTGTGTGCGCGTGTGTGCTCGCATGTTTGCTGTCATGTGTGAGCTCTCATGTGTGTGCATGTGTGCTCTCATGTGTACTCTGCGGTACGTGCGCTCTCATGTGTGCGCTGTCGTGGTGCTCTCTTACTTTTTGCCTGTTTGGTGGTTCTTGGTGGGATAAATGACGTTTTGTTTGCAATGTGAGCTATTGCCGGTACTGAGGTTCCTCGCTGCGTGATGGTTGACCTCGAACCAACTGCAACTGGAGAATCAATCAAATATGTTTTCACCGTTTTTCATGCAAACAACACCAAAACGCACGCGACTACATGACAACCATTGATAAATTTGACAAATTGCGTTTATTATCTAACAACAGTCAACCGTTAACATCAATTAACATCGTAGGTTTTATCAAGCTGGCACCACAACAAATCCACAAAATATTAACGCGACTCAGTTTTTGGTATGTTTTTTGTTGATCTATGGCCCCAACCAACAGGTTGTGGATGAAGTGCGCACCGGCACTTATCGCCAGCTCTTCCATCCGGAGCAACTGATTTCAGGCAAAGAGGATGCTGCGAACAACTTTGCTCGTGGACATTATACCATCGGCAAAGAGATTGTCAGCTGGTTTGTCAAAACAATGCTTTGGTTTTGGCATGTTTTACGGGCCGAACTTTGTACCACCAACCCACTAATTGCATGCGTTTTTCACGATTTGTTGTCAGAAGGGTTGATCGGCCGTGACAATCGACCCGCGTTGGTCGGATTTGTGCCCAATGAACTTAGGTCGACCTTGTGTTGGATCGCATTCGAAAGCTTGCGGACAACTGCACAGGTTCCTTCTTTCTGCTTTCAGTTGTGTTTGGTGTCTCACATTTACCCACCAACTGCTTTCAGCTGTCGCAACGGAGGACGCATGATGATTGGTGTGCTTGTTCAACCAAGGTTTGCAAGGATTCTGCGTCTACAATGCTTGTGGTGGCGGTACCGGATCAGGCTTGGGTTGCCTCATGTTGGAGCGCTTGTCAGTGGACTACGGCAAGAAGAGCAAAATTTCTTTCACAGTGCCTGGGCTTTGAAGGATCATGGGAATTGATTGCTTGGTTGGTCAGTTTGTCCTGAACATTTTGAAGTCCTGAATTCGAAGGCGAAACCGTAGCAGTGCTTGGTCCAAACGAGCACAGCCAGCAGTGGGTCTTGGGGACCAATCTCATCACCTGGGTCTCCACAGAAACCCAACACCGCCATCCCCAGGCAGGGATCGGCCCAAACGAAAGACTTCCTAGGGTGATCTCGGACATTTGAGGGTGATCTCGATGTGAAGACCAGAAGGATCTTCCTTAGGTGCTTTTTGGGGGGGTTGGAGGTAGATGAAATCCACGTAGGGCCCCTCACAAAGCATCATCTACTCTTAGAATGCAATATACCCAAGCTCAAGACTCCTAGTGGAGGGGAACATGTCACCGGACCAGACTAGCGGAGAGACGACTCCGTCGGTGAAGTCTGAGACCTAGATGACGCTGTAGAACCTGGAAACGTGCATGAAAATGACCCAGACACTCCATGGGACTGCCATATATGCCTACATTGACCCCCAAAACCACCCCAATGTAGGCATATGGCATGAAAATGACTGACTGGTGCTTAGTAATGGATCCCAGGTATCTACAGGGTTGGTTCATTCCCTCATCCCCTACGAGTCGCACGAGTCTGATGAGGTCTCCTGATTAGATTCGCCCCTTTGCCGGTAGCTGGGAAGAATCTCGCTACTGGGGTCTAGATGCTGCCTGGGATCTGGGGCCAGGTATTTACTGCTTCACAGTTTTTCAAACTCCAAAGGCATCAGCTTTGAAGTTCTTACAAAGCTATGCAATCTTGTTTCCCATGTCAATCCAAGCATTTACCCCGCACGCGTGACACACTGCCACACTGCGCCTTAGTTAAGGTCTGGTGCTGCCCACAAGTGGCCACTGCCGTTGTCGAGCCATACAACACCGTCCTGCCGCTGGGCAGAGATCTTTGCATTTGCGTTTGGGATCCTCGCGAACATATGGTCCACACAGCTGTATGTTACGCGTGAGACATGTGACTTCCTTTCTGAACAGCAAGCACATGTTCTCAGTGTTGGTGTAGGTAACTGCAAGCTTTGTCCAAACTTCCATTGGCCACGCTCTGGCCCTCAAGTAGCAAGCCTCCCATGTGGTATCATAGCTCAATAGCACGCCATCGCAACAGGCACGAGCGGCACAGTGTTGAAGGGCTGTAAGAAGACATCTGTGAAGCAAAGCTCTCAGTCACACTCAGTTTTTGATTGCCATTAAGGTGTGTTCATTCCTTGCTGGAGCACACCGACGTGACCATCATGTATGCAACTTGTCCTTTTTGACTGGTCTCTTCTTGGTGGACTTTCAACCTGGACCATTGAATTGCGTGTTCAATAGCAGCTTTTGAATCAAACTGCCAGGGTTCTATGATAGGAAGACCTATAGCTGCTAAGGACAACGAGGCGCTCTACGACATTTGTCGAAGGAACTTGGACATTGAGCGTCCAACCTACACGAACCTCAACCGCTTGATCGCCCAGATCATCTCGAGTTTGAGCCTGGGCTAGCTTCGGATCAGTTCGGTTTGCTGTTTGCTGTTCCATTTCTTCAATTCTTTTTTTCATGATTTTTCATGTGTAGAACAAACACACTTCGTGGTTAGCTTTCGTACAAGACTAAAATGGGTGGTTCCTTGTTTATGTTCTTCTCTTTGCTCACGGATATGGTTTCTGCGTGCGCTTGGACCCAGAACCTTCACCACGTGATATAGATTTCACCTCTTTCAGGACGGCTTCGCTTCGCTTCGATGGTGCGCTCAACGTCGACATCACCGAGTTCCAGACGAATTTGGTGCCCTACCCGAGAATCCACTTCATGCTCACCTCCTACGCTCCGGTCATCTCAGCTGAGAAGGCCTACCATGAGCAGTTGTCCGTGGCGGAGATCACGATGTCGGTCTTCGAGCCGGCCTCCATGATGGTGAAGTGCGATCCACGTCACGGCAAGTACATGGCCTGCTGCATGATGTATCGCGGAGACTTGGATCGCAGACTTTGGTGGTCTCGTTTTGCTCTCGGATGCTGCCAAGGGCAGATGAGTCATGTGTGAGTCTTGTAAAAGACCGAGCAGAGTTACTGACTATTGGTATGATTCTTTCCTGATCACCACTTATTTACATCGTCTATAGATCTCTTCCGAATATCGAGCATCGATAACCGCCTATTTACTTGAGGACCACTCCAGTTAGTTGCTGGGATCAAGCACCGCTTTTGTTGAGGAGATGTGGTGCCGAAGGATGTGAACGCGGCGGTGGCCACCATCAAGACCAAGCGCACCATCCAGTTCGTGGACTGGTGCCCCACTGGCTTCAAGTGCGGCATCAACTACCAACCACCTACTGTGGTGCCTGGCGGTGACCTGGCCAAGGTCATGCGCGCTTGCTGCATGATCTCCAACTCCACTGCGACCTGGCGCTGTGTTTTGGGAAGAGCCCGAGACGAAAAATCGTCGCTGGTTCGGAACGATCGTATACGGAGAGATGGGACAATCCAAATAGCCATAATCCTGGACGCCCTGTCGGGGTGGTTGATGGACACCCCGCAAGACCTCTTTTCGGGGCTATTAATGGACACTTGAAATCCGTGGTGCTGGATTACATAATGTGAGAACATGGTAGGCGTAGATATCTATGATTTGATCATTGATCATTTAGATATATATAGATGGTCCAGATATGTCCAGCTCATATGGCTGAATATCTATGAATGTGAAGATGTCTGGGTTCGGTGTTTTCTTTTCAATGTCCTTTGTTCCGGTCCTGCGGACCGGACACGAATGCATGCGTTGCCTTGTCTGTTTCTCGTGCGGAGCGCGGGGACATGAGTCCGAGGGAGGGACTGGTTCAGATCGCGTGAGACCGCGTGAATTCAGGCCATCGCAGAGGTCTTCTCCCGCATCGACCACAAATTCGACCTGATGCAGCTTGGTGTCAAATCAAACATGGAATCAGGACGACTTACTTTGAGCTTGGATTCCACATGGAGGGCTCCAAAGACCCGAGTAGAACCCCCAGAGTCCAGGGTTACCATTGGTCTTCTCTTCCAGACTTCAGTGAAACAGCTGTGCGAAAGCAGGCAGCGAGATGCTGACCGGTGGCTTCAGTAGGAATTTTCGATTTTTGAGTCATTGAGGATTGAGGGGCGGACATGTCTTCTATCCGTTCTCATCAGAATCATCAGAGCTTCAGAGCTATACACGATGTATATATATATATATATACTTCCCCTAGTACTTCCCCTGTCACTGCTGATTGATAGCAGAGTCTCGTTCTCACTCAGCCACGCGAAGTCCTTTTGCTCCGAAGCGCGAAGCTGCGATCGAATCGCGAAGCTGCGTCCCATGCCATATCGTCCATCCCATGGCGTCCCATTCCGGTCGCGTCCAGGTTGGCCGAGGTTGACCAGGTTGAACCAATTCCGGTTTTCTACCCTTCCGAGCTCTGAACGGGTGCATGGTTTTAGTGCATGTGGTGACGGTGACACCAGGATACCAACCGGTTGAGGTACCATGGTGGAAACCGGCCGTGACAACTACATGGTGGACTGGTCGCTCTTCAGGTGGGTCACGAACCATCCCCATGTTTTTCGCTGATGACTTCCAACCTTCAATCCCTTCGATTGTCCCAAGAGCCTGGAGTGCGCAGGACGCTGATTTTAGATGTCACGGTCAGGTATTATAGGATAGCTATCCCACAACAAAACACCAGTCAGTGTCACAGCCAAAATCCCACACATTGGGCTAAAAATGGCTAAAACAGCAGCACAAGGGTGCAAAAGAACTCCCAAACACTGTGACTGTGACGTATGTCAGGTACTCGAAGCGTGCCTTTGTGCACCACTACGTGGGTGAAGGCATGGAGGAAGGTGAATTCTCCGAGGCCCGTGAGGACCTGGCTGCCCTGGAGACGCTTGGAATCCGTTCGAAGTTCACTGTCGATGGTGCGGCTGATGGGCCTTTGAGTGCCTTTAACCGACGGGTGCGAGGGAAGTTTCCCCCCCAATCGAGGAACAAGGTTCGCGACGAACGGAGCAAGGAACGGGCATCGCGACTCGAACGGAACGATCGGACGCTACGAGGCTAGGGGCTCCTGGCCTTACTACTAGGAGCAAGAACGCTACTATAGGAGCTTTGAATCCAGCCACCCTCATTCCCTACGAGTCACACAAGTCAGCTTGGTCTTCGGTGGATCTTCCCGTGTTGGTCTGGGGCGGTGTGGGTGACGTTGGTCGGGTCGAAAGGGGTCGTCTCGGGGTCTCGGGGTCTCGGTGTCCATCATGTGGTGACCTTGTGGTGAATCACTCACAGCGTTAGTAGCAGATCGTTCTTCTGCCCGGGCAATTTTTTCTGGTTTTCACATCATGAGAAGCGGAGCATGAGGCGGAATTCAGGAACTAGTGCATCTTCATTTAGCGACGTCCCATCTTAACGTGTGGCCACAGAGAAGGCCACTGACACGTGTTTTGTGCTATAGAAGGGCCTTTCGGGTGCTCCAGCTGGTCAGGTCGACTAGGTCTAGGTCGGTAGAAGATCATGACCCCTATTCATCCGTTTTGATGCATATTTCAGGTGCATGGCCATGTGCCACTTGCGACCCCCGGTAGGTCTCCAATGTGGTCACACGGGGCCCTTTGATGGCAAGAACTCGTCGTTCCTTCGCACGAAAAGCAGCCCGTTCGGGAACGGAGCTGAAGAACTCTCCACCGTTGAACGACCACCGTCTCCACCGTAGGGACCGGTGAAAGGTCGCCCGCGGGCTGCGGTCGAGCCGCCAGGGGGACCAGGTCACACGGGCGGCTTTCTAGCAGTTGTTCTGTTTGAGAACTGCTGCTTCGGCGGATCCGAGGAAGGACTACGAAGAAGTTGGAATCGAAACAGCCGAGGGAGCCATGGAATTCGCATCAGCAAGACTTTATCTGGGTGATGGTTTCGGATATGTTATGATATGTTTATGTTCAACCCTTACTTGGGGATTATTGGACCCTCTGACTAATATTTTTCAAGTGGGTTGAAAACACCAACCAGTTATTCTGCTCAAATTGCAGGTCTTCTCAGACGCGCTCTCTTTCTGTTTTTTACCCCGAGAGAAACCAAAATTATCATGAAACGGAGGAAGCCAGGCTTGTTCGGGATACCCGCACATACGAAAGACTTCAATTCCAACAAAAAGCCAATGACTTATCTGCTTGCTCTCATGTTCGCTCATGTTCACTGACTTATATCCTCAGGTGCACACAACTCAAATCCTATGTGCACAGATGCATGTAGGTATGCTGCAGCCGTGCAGGCACATCCAACTGTTGACTTGCACCTTAAAGCCCCTTAAAGATATAGATCACCAAATGGACGCTCAAACAACTGAGCTCCTTACACCGCAAATGGTGCCATTTTGGCTGTGTGTCCATTGGACGCAGCTGGGTTCCGGTTGCTTCCATCCTCCTGGACCGGACCTGACGCCGCGTTTCGAAGCTCGGCTCTCGCACCGGAGCCCCTGACTCGGCCCGGGAGTCCGGGAGTGGGTGGAATGCGATCGGACGGGAGTTCGGTTTGGAACCTATATAGGAGCGATCGGACGCTGCAATCGAACCCTTCAAAGCCTTGACACAGACTCCCAGGGGCGCCCGGCTTTCCGTGCTTTCCGGCCGAACGACGGGCCCGATCCTGCTTAGGCGAAGGCGAGGAAGAAGGCTATGGCGATGAGTTCTAATTCGTCTCCATCGGACGTGGAAGAAGAACTTCCGGTGCTGCTTCCAGCAGCGGAGCAGCCATCAGGGTTGTTGGGGGGCCAAAAGGAGCGAAAGCGCAGTTCTGAGCTTTAGCCCCCAAACTGTTTTCACCCTCTAAACTACTCCCAGCATTGCAACATGATGAACACATGCTTCAGTTGAAAATGACACAAACCACGCCAACCACCACGCAGATGGCTTGACGTCCCATGTGCCGCCACAGGACGACGGCCGAGGAGGCTGGCGACGTGATCAGCGGTGACTTGGAGGACCGGGTTTCAAACACCGGGGCGCAGAGCGCGGTCGGAACCAAGGTGATACCAGGTGATTCTTCATACCTGGATCTTCCAACTATCCAACATTTATGGTAATTGGATCCTTTTGACTGGTTTCTTAGATGAAAAGGCTGAATATATACTGACATGTTGCGCAGTTGGAAGATCCAGGTATACAGTATACACTTGTTTTATAGTGTAGATGGCACAAACCACAAGATGTCCCTTTGAGGGGGCCCATACACACCACCAACATGTGGGATTGTACCATCTCTAAGACTCTGAAACTTCTAGATTCTAGTGGTTTAGTCACTAGAATTAGGTCGACGAGGGTTTTTCAATTAACCGACACGTGGTTGCCAGCTGGCGTGGAAGTCAGAGAGTTGACGCACTGTATTAGATGCTGTAATAGAATCGATTTGAATAAACACACACACACACACGCACACGCACATTCTCTCTGGGACCAACTATTGGCTTTGCGGGGAATTGAATCCATGTTTGCCTGGTCAGAGGGTCAAGACAGGCTTACGTATGATCAGTTTGGGGGTTGCCATGAGCAGCTCAATCATTACCAGATCAACCAGGGCCTTTGGTCCTTTGGTAAGTGGAAGATCATCCAAGTTTACTGCTCAGATGTTGGAGTTGGACTGCCGTTGGACTGGAGAGCAACGGAGCCAACAACAGGGAGTGCATAGAGAACGATCCGCCTTGCTTTCGAACACGATCTGTTCATATCTGTTCAAGACGGTTGAAGTTCCGAGCCACAAACATTCCCTTTTCATTGCTGCCACCTGTGGCATTCACTGGGTGGAGTTTCCACATAGCCCTTGCACACCAGCCCTCTCCTGGACCTTTTTCTTGGGATGCCACCACAACCTACAGATACCGATGCCTCACTTTTGCACGGATACCTCCGCGGCCAGGATGTCTCCATCTACAACCCGGCGCTCCAGTCGGAGGTCCGATGTTGGTTCTAGAGGATGTCTAGGGCCTGTCCCAGTGAACCTGTAGAGCCGGTGATAAACAAGAACATCACTATTTTAGAGATGGATAGGCCTGCAACCTAACCATCATCATCCACTGGGAATGGGACATCCCGATGTCCTTGATCTTGGTTGGATGACCTGCGACTTTAATTCCTCTTGTTCTGACTTCCTTTGATTCAGACTGCATTTTTCGTAATGAAGATGGATTCTTTGTTTGACCGACGACCGATGACCCATCTCTCTCTCGCTCTTGGCAATCTGAGATACCTGGAACTTCAAAGTGTGTTTTATTTGTTTATTTCGATCTGCGGGGTGAAAACCATCTTTTGGAATCACAACAGCCTTATATTTGAGTCTGCGGATGTTTCTCTAGTTTTCCGATTTTTCCTTATATGATATTCCACGGGCGTTTATGCATAAGCTAAGGGCGTTAATTGATGAGCCAAAGGCGTTTTTTCCCGAACATGTTATGTTAAGCGGGTGTTTATTTCGGTTGCAGATGTTTATGTGGTTCACAGACCTAAATAAAGGTATGTTGAACCACCGACCCAAAAAGAGCAACCGAGCCTCAGTTGCAGCTATCACCTCGCACCGACCCCGTCGCCGCGCTCAACCCGCTGAACCGTCTCCGGTGGAGGCTGCGAAGCTGCGAGAGTGGGACGCCTCAAAACGCGCGGAGAGCGTAGAGCATGAGAGAATTGAGCATGGGCCGCGGAGTGTCCACGTCGAATGATGTCGAGGGAAAATACGTTTTGTTTTGTACTGATCCTTTGAGTATAGTATAGAAGCCATGTTTGGTGCACGTGCCCGGTGTTGCCCCTTGGAATCGGCATGCTGGTCGGTCGGTCGGGGTATTATAGGGGGCCTGAATGGTGTTGGCGCTCGATCGGGAGTCCTGCACACTGAGTGTATTTCCTTGTTGGAGGCTGAGCAGGGCTGAGCAGAGCCAATGAATGACCTTTGTTCTTTTATAGTATAGTCTGAAGTTGCTTCTGAAATTTGTATAACTATTTGTATACTAGTTACTAGTCTTGTATCCCTGACGGTCTTCGGAACAAAAAAGAAAGGTCCTCGACAATGCTGAGAAAAGTGTTCTCAAAAGGTACACTCTCGGCATGATGTGGCTGATGTTCTTTTTGAGGTCCCGGACCTCAAAGGGAAGGTCTATGAACATATTATAATGCCCCATTCTTTTTGAGGTCCCGGACCTTAAAAGGAAGGTCTATGGGTCTGGTGATGTCTGGTGTGATCTGGCTTGGCTCTCTTCCGATTGCCATTTGCAAGCTCATGAAACCTTGACATTTCTATGGTTTCCTCGGCTCATGAAACCTCGACAATTCTATGGTTTCCTCGGCAATGTACTTTGGAGGGTCTTAGGACTTTGAGGGTATAGTATAGTCTGAAATTGCTTATTCATTTTTACGTGAACCTTCTCCTCAGACGATGAGGCTGTGGACTGTGCAAGTCAGAGATGTAAAGTTAATCTCCTGAGGCTTTTGGCAGTTTAAACATCCATGATCTGTGAAGGAGTGTTCCAACTGGACTCTGGAGAATCTGGTTGGATGATGTACAGGTCAAGCAAAGTCAGTGCGCATCCCTTTGAAGCTTTGGATGGCACAATCCCCCAAGGTTAGTTTACGAGGACCCCATCAAAAGTCATCTTGGGGTTTGTGCCATCTATATACTCTGAAACCACCAGTAAGTATGTATTTGTGCTAACCTGTGAGCTGCAATACAATGGGCTGAAAACCCTTGCCGACCCTTTCTTCAGGCGGACATGGACACTACGGAAGCGAAGTGGCCCCAAATTCATGTATACGAGATTTTGGGGGAGCTGATAAGGTGACACTCCAAAGCCCAACATGTGTTGTTTTTTTTTTCAATATTTTCCAAAGCATCGTGTTTGATTGAGCATCAGTGAATCAGCAATAAAGCCATCCATCTCTAATCCAAAAAGCCTCTTACGTGAGCAACATCTCCAACCTACCGTGTTTTACCGCCCAGGACGTCGCACAACGGGCCCTCAGCGACACAGCGACCAACACGGCACGGCACGGGACACGCAGGTCCGGCAAGCTGGACGACTTGCAGAACGACCCTGAGTTGCAGCCCATCTTTGAGGAGAGTTACTGCGTCGTTGGAGGGGGCTGTGTGGGCTGTAGGTGGAGGAAGAACTGGACAGGTCCTCTTGGTAGGAAACACGTGTTGAAGATACAGCCTCTTAGAAGACATTCAGGGCCACACGAAAGGGTTTCGGGGATGCTCAAATTAGCTGGTCAACATAGTTTTCACTTTTCTGGTGGGTAAATGGGGTGCTTGATGCCGAAACTTGCAATTCTGAGATCAATTGGTTTTTGTGGCGACTTGGGCTGAGGAACGCATGTGGTGTACTTTGGTTTGATGTTTGTGTCTAGTTGGCAGCCGGCGATGGCAAGACCCTCTTTGACTTTTGCGTGCTCGTTGAGCTGGGAAATCTGCGGTCATGCAGAGGCTCCGGAAGATGACGCGAAAAGGAAGCCTCATGACCTGGGGCCCTTTGCTGACCTTCCCCACATGTTCATTCCTTATGCATGTTGCATCCAGTTGCATCAATGTCACGTGGAGAAAAACGACACCTAGGTGCAAGCCACGTCTCAAGCTCATTCATGGCTCGAGCCAATTCAAGAGGGGCAGGACCACGGATCACAGACAGATGCCTGCCCCTAGAGCATGGTCATGCTTTCCCTAAAGCAAGCTTGCTTTCTTGGCACGTCCTCCAACGGATGAGACATTCGAAGGAACACGGCCCTTGTAAAAAATGCATGGATGAATTGAGACCATGATGATGCACAGAAGAAGACATGTAGGGCACGAGGGTGTGCATATTAAAACATCTTGAAAGCAAGCAGGAACATGGTACACCGACCAGTGGAACCGACATGGTCCATCAGGCACGTCGTTGAGACAGTGCGCTCCATGAAGTTGGTTGATTTCACCACCACGACTTTTTGGCGGACCATTGGGCATTTGTATGGTGGCCAGCCTTCTCCAACTGCAGAGCATCTGGGGTTTGAGAACCTCCTTCCAAAGCTGCTGGTCGACGGCGAAAGACCCTTGACTGCGGTCATTTGGAGCATCCCTGACAGGCCCTGACATGTTCATTTCATCGGATCTTTTTGTGCAAGAGGACTGGTTTCACGCAGAAAACGTCGAAAACCACGAACCAACTCCACTCTAACTCCTACCCATCTCTACCCACCTCACCGCATCACCCTACCACCCATCAACCTCTGCACATATCACGCCACCATGCACCGGAACCCGCGTCCTTGTTTTCCAGTGGGAAAGCGCCGGAAACGCCGGCAAGCACCGCCCCCATGTGGCCTGGCGCATGCGGCGCACACGGCGCATGGTGGCTGCTGGCCGTCCGCCTCGCGCGTCCGGCGAGGGGGGAGATGGAGCTGAGCCTTGCGGAGGCGGCGGTGGGGTGTGTGTGATCAATGAGTTCATGGGATGGATCCAAAAACTATTCAGATGGGACGATTCGCAGGGAAGAGGTAGGAGCAGGGAAGAGGTAGGGAAGCAGGTAGAGTCTTTATGCCCCAAATATCGGGATCGGTTCTTAGATTGATTCGGTGACGTGTTGATTCTGATCCAGTGATTCTTCAGGGGCACGTCGTGCGGCACAGGCTACCCAAGCACCTGATGGGCAACTCCCACAGCACCTGCAAACGATCCTACGGCCTACCCCGCTGAAAACGATCCCATGGACCCTGAAAACCCCTGGTTTGTTAACGGAAAATGGTCTTTCAGAGTGCCAAAAACCACGGAGTCCATGTTCATTTTTCGGGAGTGTAAGTCTCAGCTTGGGTTGTTGATGTTGTTGAATTCGACGGACTCCTGTTACTCCTGTTAGATGAAGTGAATCCTGTTGACTTCCGCAGGCTACCGTGCAAGGTCCGGGTTTGTCCTTCAGTGTTCATTGCAGCCACTCAGCCACTTTCGTTGACCACTGATGTGGAGTAAGCACTGTTTGAATGCGCTTTCTACACGTCTGGTGGCGGCCCTATTCCATCCTGTTCCATTGTACCTCGTCCTGTCACCGCCGCGCCACCTTCTGATCCTTGCTTGCTTGAAAGTGTTGGTGATCAGAATTTCGGCTACGGTAGGCCATGCCGGGGCCAGTGTTGCCGCCCTGCGAGAACGGGGAGATCCCCTTGGAGGAGGCAGGGGGGCTCTTGCACGAAAGAATCGTTCCCGAAACCGCGGTTTGGGGGGTGGATCTTTGCATTGACCCCTTTTTGGGTGATTTCGATTCTTGGACTTGACCTGTGGCTAGAACACAGATCATGCAACCGGCTATCCTTTTTGAACGTGAATTCCACAAAAAGCCTTGAGACAAGAATAAGGCTGTGGTGAATGCTCTTAGTCTCTTGGTCTGGATTTTGGGGTGTTCCCTGAGTTCAACCTTTCTTCAGACCTTCTGTGAGTCTGTGAGTAGATTGTTTTGTAAGTACCGACTTTCGCCTGCTGGACAGAGCTGTTTGGCTTAGACACTTTTCACTCCTGGTGGAATCTAAGCTGGCGACGAAACGCGCCAACATGCCGCAACAGCCTCCTGATCCAAAAAGAACACCACTCTGTTGATCCATGTTGATCCCAAAAAAGAGAGCCGGCTGAATTTGGACTCCATGCCTCTGAACCAAAAGCCACCCCGGCTCCAACCATTCCCCCCCCCGCGCTCCACCGCAGGAGTGTCCCGGCACCTTCTGGCGCGCCTACGCCGCGCGGCTCTTCGCCGCCCGCGCGGCGCTCTTCGTGTCTCCCGCGGTGGCGGTGGAGGCGCTGGGCGAGCTGCTCCTGGAAGCCACCACGCCCTTCTCAGGGGTCGGGGAACCCGGGACATTTTGGGGGTGGAGAAAGCTGTGCGCATCGGATTTAGGTGGTGTTTTGATGTGCAAAGGAGGCAAACACAAGCAGGGGCCTTGTGGACAAATGCCCTATAATTACCTTATATACACGCCACACACGGTGTGTGTTCATGTCATCTCCTGGTGCCTTATACTGTGTCAGCGGCAAGCATAGTTCGTGGTGGTTTCGCGCTACGCATACAGAGCTCGGTACTTGAGCCTGTGCACGCTTCCTGCAAAGACCAGTGCTATTTCTAGTTATTTCTAAAACCTTCATGGCCATGATCCCACCAGCCGGCGCTGTAAGCTTTGATCCATAATTAGTGGCCTGAAGAGGCCTACCATGCAACAAAAGGTGTAACACTTTGTCGATGAGCGACTCCTCAGGTGATGACACCTTGGAGGTGTTCCAGCACTGGTGAAGATGGATCATCCCCATCTTTGACATAGATCCAGAATTCGAATCCAATGTATGAGTCTGTCAGAGAAGAGCCATGACCCAGATCATTTGGCTTTTCTTGGCACCTGGAGCCATCACTCATCACTCATCACCATCGATCACCATCAAAAAGGCTTATAAGCATTTATAGGCCCTGGGTAAAATTTTAAAAAGGATTTTGGACCGTTTGCCCGCAGACCTCCGCACCTCCACGTCTCCCCACCTCCTCGTCGAGTCGACAGGCCTTTGCGTGCCCGGGCGCCATCGTCAGCAGCTTCTTTGCCTTGGCGCGCCTCCTAGCGCTGCAGCGGCGATGGCGACGGAGCCTGGCGATGCTTCACTTAGGCCGGTCTGACCTGAGTGGGTTGACCGGCCCCAGGCTGTAGGAAGCTTGATGCAAACGGGCCCGAGTCTTGAAGGGGGACATCACGGATGGCACAATCCTTGGACTTCTCTATAGTCTAAGTTAATGAAGTTTGTACTATTACTTACTGTATAACTTATAGTCTTATAGTACAAGCCATCCCTTTTGGGGGGTTATGCCACCTACTCTGAAGCGACTACAGCTTGAAATTGGTGTCCATCTACTTCCCAAAGCTTCTGACTGTTAATGGAATCATATGGAACCATTTCTGTACCAGCAGGAACTTTCAAAGCTATCTAATCCAGTCTTAACCAGTTGTGTCCGTGCGAAATCATGCTTTCTGAAGAGGGAGGACATGCCTGGCGGCGGCCCAAATTTCAGTCTTTTTAGACTGGTGACCGCCGGCCCATGTGCAACATGTCAATACATGGAATCATATGGAATCTAAGCGATCCCTTATGGTTCTGATCGAAGATTGGAGGATTCTCGCACCCACCTGCGTTAGCACAAAGGATTGTCTACTAACAACTTACGCCAGCATAGACCCTGCAGCCGCAGTGCACCCTGCAGCGCGCCCAGCGGGCGCGGTGCCAGCACCGCTTCCAAGGCAAGAGGGCCAAAGACATGTTGCAGCACAGACCACATACATCAAGGGGCATGAGAGCGCAATATGTGAGCAAGCACACATATGTGAGCAAGCGCGCAATGAGAGCACACACAGGATCAGGTGAGACGGTGTTCTGGTTCGAGACACACATGCTTGCTGTCAAGTCCATGTGCCCATTCATGCGGCTCAACCTGTCCTGGATTTTTTGTAGCGAATTGTGTCACAAACGGCCCTGATGGGCGTGTCATTGTGGCACTCCACGGAGGAGGTGCTGTGACTGGTCTGCGCCAACAGCAGTTTGTTATAGCCTGCACAGTCGAAATGCACTTCGAAGATCTCCACAACGAACTTCCCGTACACAGCAGCGAATTAGCTGAACATACCTGTGAGCACCGAGCACCCTCGATCAAAAAACCTACCGTAAGAACCCCGTTTGAGGGACACTGTTTTGGGGAACACATGTGAAGATCCCATCAAATCCAGATCGAATCAATCAGTTCAGATCCAAACAATGAAGGGGTCCAAGCATAACTGGCAGCACTTCTGAAGAATCTATCCAGATCCAAACACCCAATTGAGATCCAAACACAGCTGTCAGCAGTGCGTTCTTCCTCCATAATTCATCCCCCCTCTCTTTGCCTCCAGGCTTTATCTTCGTGCGGGACCGTGGCTTCAGTGAATGTTCGACCTGGCCAGCCCAGGGCTGGGACGCCGCTGGGTCCAACGGGTGAAAGAAGGACGGTGGACGGATGTGCCGAGCGATGTGCCGAGCGATGTGAAGATGATGGATCGGATGATAGAAAGGTTCATGATCTTTGGATGCTCATTATGTTCATATGTACAGTAGATGTACCTTATTCGGGCAGAAGAAACCCTTTGGAACTGGTAGAGTTTCTGGCGTTTGGAAGAATGTATTGGGACGGCTGCATTGTCCACTCCATTGCGCAGTAGCAGGACAAGCTGGCGTTTTGGGGGTGGTGGCAGATTTGCAAGTAGACTGACTAAGGTATGTCAAGGTGAGTGTCCCAAAGGACAGATACCGAAAGGTCCATCTCAATTGTTGTACATGCTATGACTGGTTGGTAGGGCAACCCCAAGAATACCTTTCATCACTTTAAGAGTCAGAACACCGCAACAAAAAGTGGTTTGCAATGGGTGAAACAAAATGATGGCCTATGTGACCCTTGTGGTCTATGCCCCGACGTCATGGGGCAATGTACCCCGGTGGTTTGGACGCGACCACCCAGGTCATGTTGGCCGGGCAAGCGCTGACCGAGCGAGTGCGCCTGTTGGACGACGAGTCCGTTCTCTCCACCGTGAGCCGTGGCTTTCGGATTGACGGTCTGCGAGTGGCGGTGGTGACGATCTGTGCATATGCGGAGGAGGGGGCGAGGGAGGTGGCATGTGGTCAGTCATTTCAGTTGGCCAAGTTGCTAAGTGCAGTATAAGGACACATTTAGTTCTAGACATCTTTAATTGAGGTTTGCGATGGGGGACAGCCCCAACCTGGATTGGCCAAAAATAAATTGGCAAGATAAACATCATTCTCAAGTGACCCGGGGCCGTTTCCACGGTGAGTTTCTAAGTCCTATCTTCTTGAGGCACCGATGGATCGCCTGGTTCCGGGGTTCCCTGCTTGCCGCCCCAGTCAGTCAGGTTCGGGTCAAGTTCCTTCAGATGCAGTCGATTTCCATGAGGAACAGACCCTGAAGACCCGAAAATCCAACGTCTCAAAGATGGAGTTAGCTGACTGGTGTTTGTTTCCATGTCAAACTATTCGACGCTGCTCATTTTTCTGGTCTTCACTGAACCTTGATCAGAGGGCTTGGTGAACTCTCAATTGGAGACTCGTCATTCCCCATTCCCTACGAGTCGCACGAGTCAGTCATGGGGACCCGGGTTGGTACGGACGCTACCAGTAACTCTGCCGATTCCGCGTACGTGGATGTTGTGAGAAGGACGCACCCGTGCGGGTCCTTTGCCATCAAAACCGGCAGCTGTGACCTGGCAAGCATTGGTGAACTGTCCAACGAGTGGTTCACGAGTGCCTTAGGGCGTGGCATGAATGATCAGGTCGTGGGCATGTGATTGGCAAATGTGTGCAGGGGTGTTTGTTGATCCTTTGTAGGTTTTAACTTGTACCTGGTACCTCCCCGAAGCAAAAGAAAGATGCACTTCTTCTGAGGTACAAGATGCTTCATGGCTACGATGTGCACTTTTTCACCGATGCATCGCAGATCGATGTCAACATTGATTCGCAGATGGATGCCGCTTGACAGTTCACACATGGATCTTGGATGCGGGATGATGTACGATGATGTGGATGTAGTGGATTAGGAGGACTCCTAATCAACGGGTTTCCCTTATCAGAGGTTTATTTAAATGTTTTTTGGTCTCCCAGGTCCCAGGTCATTCAGGCCTCGGCCCCAGTCATCACAGCAGGCGGGGGAGGCGATGAATTTAAGTGTCCGATCATGGGGACTCTCGAGGAACATCTCGAGAAGGATCTGCGGATTTCGGATTTCTCAGGCATTGAATGCGACTGGATTCGCCCTTCTTTTTTCGCCTATCTATCGCGGGTATGATTCGATTGATATATAGATTCAGATGAGCCGCTTCCTCCCCAGTTCGAGCAGCAGTGCTTGGGCGTACTAGCAGTGCGCGACTGGTGGCCATGAACCACCTGTTGGGTCCACTCAGAATGCTAGGGATGCCCAGTGTGTGTAAGACATGTGTAAGGCAAGGAGGTACACTCAGCACATGGACGTGGAAAATCAGCTGTTTATAAACCCTCGGGATCCAGTCGTACCTTCTCAGAAGGCACCTGGACCCTCCAAACCCACCCCAAACGCCTTCTGAGACGGTACTTGGATCCCTAGGGAAAGGAACCTGGTCTTTCTTTCGGGCCCCTTTTCCACTGTAACGGATGAGTTTTTTCGGAACTCACATGGTGGAAGCGGAGGGAGTGAACCCAGCCTGGGACTGGTCTTCGGATTGAAAACGGTCTTCGGAACACAAGGGGCCATTTTCCCATCCACATAACCATGCTAGTTTTATCGACTTTCAGAGCTTTTCAGCGACTCCAGTCTGGTGTCTTTTTTGCTGGTGAATGTATAGGCGATGCTTGCATGCAGCGTGCGTGGATGGGTACCTTATGGCCTTGATCGATCTTTTAACTTTCTCAAGTTGCACTCAATGATTGCCTAGCGAGTCGATGCGTACATTGCTGGTCTGTCTTTTGATGTCCATGGTCATTTCAAGTTTCAGTTTGAGTTGAATGTACACTACATCTCACTATATAGCGCGGTTCCATGGGCAGCCTTGTCTTTTCTCCTCTCAAGTATTCCAGAGTCTAATCGCGCCCTCCGACGGTTGGGTTTGAGGTGAAAGATGGTGTCCACAAGCCCTTCTTCTGGAAAGTCAATGCGGTCAAGAATGTTTTGGACACGGGGAAGTACGATTGGGCTCTTTGGACACTTGGCTGGTACTATCATGGTACTATCTGGTACTAATATGTCTTGCATGGTGTCATGTGGTACGAAGTGTTCAGGACTTTCAAAGAATTCCAGACTTGCATTATTCCAAGAGCATACAGCATATACCCAGTGGATCACTGGGACGTGGTTTTCCCTCGGTTCGGAAGCCGAACTTGGCGCGAGACATTGGGTGGCAAAGGACATTGATGATTTGGGCCACTTTCGAGGCCAGTGTGTACCAATGGAGCCCCAGAAATGAAACATACTATTACCCAGCTGGTGACCCAGGTGAAGCAAAGGTCCTGCGAGGTCCACGCAAGTTCCACCCGAGGTCCACGCCTTTGATCCGAACATGCGCGAACTCACTCCTCCTTGTTCGGATAATTAGGCTGGGTCTGACTGACAGCTCCAAGCATCTATAATAGACGAATTTGATGGCCACAGCTCTCAGGTGTGTACGTACTTTACTAGCATGCAGTTTCAAAGACAAGCAGGGAAGGTCCAGGTCAGGTCAGGTCAGGTCAGGGCATGCTTGACCAAAGCATCCAAAGCCGAGGATGGATTGCGATGCCTTCTTCATGGATCCAGGGCGCACCATTGATTCGGTGATCCACATGTATAGCAGCCTGGTCAATTGGAAGTGGGCACAAAAGTGGGGCAGCGGTGCCCGCCCAAATGGAAAAGAGCGGAATCGCCCCTCCCAATATCTACCTGAGAATGCTGACCCTTTGGTTGCTGTTTGACAGTGGCTGTGAGTAGCCGTGGTCCAAACACTGAGATTGACTTTTTGAATTGTCAAGACGCCACTGATGTAGCAGGTTTCACATGGTTTCACAGGGTTTCACAGAGTCAGAGATGATTTCACATGGTTTCACTATAGCCGAAAAGGCTTTAAACAAGTGATTAAGGGCTATGTGAAACGAGTGGCGGGTCCCTCGCAACAGGTTCCCTCGCAGCAGGGGCATCCAGCCGGGCGGGATGCCTTTGGTCTCCGAAGCGTCCCAAGAGGCGTCACACGGACGCTGCCTGCGGAGGTGATCAGAGGTGATCGGTTTCGATGGGCCACACCAATCATTCTTGGGTGATCAGAGGTGACAGCAAAATGGTGTTTCCGACCTCGAAAACGCCGAGCGGCCATAGCTCCGACCTTCGATGTGGGTGAAAGGAAGACGATCTGTAGAACGACGCAATCAGACCAGCGGAGCAGCTGGGACGACCTGGGTGAAAAATAGTGAAGAACACACCCATTTGCATCATGCAGAGGATTGTATACATCTTGTAGATCTTGGAGAACTCCATGGCATTTCGTAGTGAAAACCCAAGGCTGGTGGGATTTTCCATGTGGAACTTCACCTGCTCAGGTGCCAACCGAAGCATCGCCTCCCGCCTGCCGGTGGGTCCGGGCGTCCCGGACCAGGTGACCTTCCTTTCATCGCCAGGGTCGTCGACCGGGGCATATGAATCCATACAGGGCCTGGGGGTGGTTGACCTGGGGTCAATGTAGGTAAATATATATATATACATATATATATATATACTAATTATATTATATAATACATGGAGCGTTTGGGTATGGATTGAGATCTTGGACCATCCATGGTTTGTTTTGATCAACAGTCCGTTGTCGATCGTTTGTTTCTTGTTTTTCTCTGTGGTGCTTCTCTGTGGATCAGACTTCACTTTGTTGGGAAGCTCAAAACCATCGGAAACTTCACCATCGAGTTGAGAGAGAAGCACCTCCTTCGGTGTAGGAAGGGCTTTTTGGCAGCTCCCGGATCCAGGCAAACCACGAACGTTCATAGGTCACCAGTGGTTCCAAAGACTTACAGTAAGCCGTATAGGCCTATTAATATAGAAGGTTCAAGACTATTTGTGACGGTGGCTTCCCTGGGATCCACTTGGTCCCTACCGGCTGCACCTGTGAACGTCCATGACGTGGGCCTCCGACTGGTCGCCAGGACGTGGCTTCCGGCTGGCACGAGCTGGCTGAAGGAGAGGCCTCGCTGATTCTGGCCGTGGACTCCACAGGCCCCCCTCGCCCAGCGCAACGTGCAGTGCGCGCGACCTGAAACATGCAGAAACAGTGTACGAACCCCCCCCACAACTCTCCTGCGGCAGCAGGTGGTTTTCGTGCTTTAGTAAGTTGGCTGTAAGTCGATTCCCTTCCGCCCCGCTCCATTCCGAAGCAATCACAACGCCACTTTTTTGTTGGGGCCTTTTCCCACCAACACACGACGTGAAAAAACGATTGGGGGAAGGCATCAACAACGGCGTGTGGCTCCTGAAGAACAGCAATTGGTCCCATCGCTTCTTGGAGCGTTGGTGGCGCTCGGATATCCTCTCTGGCCCGGGAAAGGCGGGGGCATGATGGTAGTGGAAAGGCGGCCGGTAGATGCGTGCGTTTTCTATGCGGAGGTGTTTTGGTTGAGGAGGGCAAGAGGTGTTTTCCTTTAGACGATGAGTCGGATGTCAGACATCCATATCGTTTGGGTTTTTGGCCTTGGAATTGGTTGTTTTTGTTCAGGATCGCTTTTGTATGCTTTTGGGACCAAATGCCTTTGTGTTTTTTTGCAAATTGTAGCAATTTGCTTTCTGTTTCCCTCAGTTAGTTTTTCTCTGACTTTCTTTTTTGGCTGTCCGGTGACCTATGCCTTTCAACCGGCTTTCGGAGGTGTCAGAGGTTTCTCGTTGGCATCTCGCCTTTTCTGTCCCGTACCTTTGCTGCTTCTCCACTTCGTTGCTTTATTGTTTTTTGTTGTGGCTTTGTTTGCCACGATTTGCCTGGCGGCCGGGAGTTATGATACGCTCAGCCATGTACACAACTCAGCATGTATCAGATCTATCAAATCCAACGAATATACATGAATATACAATTTGCTGTCTTTTGCATTGTTCTTCACCAGAAGGTCAATCCGCAGGTTCGAAGTCCACTCAATCCAAACTTGCAACCTGGTAACTCCTCGAATCTCTGATTTTTTGCTGCTTCCCGATCCACATTCCGCCATCAAAAAGCACCACTGCACCTGTGAAACACCCGGCAAAAAGCGGATCCACCCTTTTCCAAACCTCGGTTTGGACACAACTGCCCCGGGAGGAGCACAACTGCAGCGATCAGTCCACCATGCTCCATGCGTTGCTCTACGAGCGAGCCATCCAGCTGAACCAGACCTGGGACTCCTTTGAGGTGGACCAAGACGAACGAGACGAGCTCGTCGGTCTAGGACAAGTAGAGAGACCCTTACATGCTTTCAATAAGAAAGCCCGGTGGGGGGATGGCATACAACTAGACGTGATGCATTTTCGAGCAGATGGAGAGAATCGTGGACGATCCAGCCACACCCATGTTGTTATTTATATTGTATCAATATGTATCAATCAAATTACTGATCTGGTTTTGATCTCTTGAAGAAACGACAGTTGATAGAGTGCAGTGAAGGCGCCATGAAGACCTTTCAATCGTCACCGCCACCTGCTCAAGAAACGGTACTGTAACCTGTATCGACCAATTCCAAAGAGTCGAAGCTTTCTTTCACCAAGCTAGATCAATCAATCAAACCGTGGTTTGCATTCGCTTAGACCTTAATACCTATAGTAAGACCATGCTCTTCCAATTTACTTTTAGACCAATGGCAGGCATGGCCTTGGGTCGGGGAGCAACAGAAATGGAACATTGCCAGGAGATGCCCACAGTCTTCTCTCCCCCTGTGCTTGAACGACTGCAATGTAGCAAATTGAACGCTTCGTGAGTGGAGGATGGCGACAGTCTCCCTCGGAATCAAAACTAGCAGCAACATAGGTATCATTGTCCTATTTGGCTAGAAGTCCTTCTTACTAAGAGCAACTGATCGATGTCGCAGAGTCTTAGGATTTTTGGAATTTTAGGAATAATAGTTCCTGAGGATTTTAGGAATAGCTCTGACTTGTCAACAGACAAATAGGCTGGAGCAGCCCATAACAAATGTGTCGATGATTGAAAACGCATAGCAAGTGTTCATGTCCAACACTGGCTACTTCCCACACTTGCCGCACCTGCCGCACGGTCCAGTTGCCGATCTATCCGCCGGAAGTCCGCGTGGCACGGCAGGAACACCTGCCGCTTGGCGAAGGTATTGAGGGAAGAAGTGGTTCAGACCGGTGACAAGTGTTCGCGACTGTCCTTCCAACACCATAGAGGTAGCGATTGATTTTTGGACATCCATGAGTTTAAGTGTGCAACGGCCAGAAAATGAAAGGCCCCTGCATGAAGGCAGCTTGGGAAGCACGGAGCCGCACACGGAACCAGTGGGGCCTCTTGGAGTTGAAAGAATCGAAGCCATGCCTCGTGGGGCCTCTCATGTTCATTCATGGGACACGACGATGTGTTCAAACTCACAACCGACGATGGGGTATCAGTTTCCTTGACAGAAGAATCACTTGGTCTCTTCCGCCGGTGTTTGGCCAGGCAATCCTTTCATGCAGCCACCGCGCAGACGGCCCTGTCACGTGCATGGCAGGTGGGGTGGGGCAGTGAACTAGCGAGTCAACGGCAGTCAACTGGGGAAGTTTTTGAAAGGATTTTCCCTCAAAGCCCCTTTGTTCATGAGGTGCTTGCCAGTGCCAGGGGTGGTGCTGTGATGGTTTGCTGGCATAAATTGCAATGTTGATCTTCACTTATAGCTATTTGGATAGGCAGCGAAGACCTTCATTTGCCCGCTCAACTGGGATGTTTCGCAGTAGGACTTCAGCCAAATGCAGGTATATGCAGCAGTTTGGTGCAGCAGTCACCAAACCAGGAGAAACACTGCCACCAGCACCACAGAAGAGGTGGTTGTTGGATGGAACATACACAATCAGGGGTGTCCATAAACCATCCTTTCCGTGGAGCTGGCAAATATTTGCAATGTTCCCTGTTTGACCTACTTTGAGGAGGAATTATTACCATTTTCTGTCGTACATCGGCGTAACACATCTGGATCGGCTTGATTGTCCATTGGACGGGCAGGACGGCGATTTCATCAAGCACCATCCTGGCTGCCACTACTACAAGGTGCCTCGAATAGCCTCGAGTTCTGCGCCTTACCACGCCTTTTAACGCTGTTTCGGAACGCGCGCGGATCAGTTGCTTGAACCTACGGTACATGCCTAGCTAGAGAGATCCAAACACCAGGGAACAAATGGATGACTGTTGCTGTGAGGGGTTGAGGTGCTGCTCTTCTCCGTCCTGTTGCACCAAGTACAAGTGATGGGTCAGAGATGAGTCGCGGATCCCAAGGCCCAGCATGTATCCCAAGGCCCTGTCCAGCTGACCACCCCAACTCCCCCACTGTCAAGCAAGATTCGTTTAACACTAACATGTTTGTTCAAGGACAAGTGGGTGTGTATTAGAATAAGGAGACTAAGGAGAGGCCGCGAATGACCCCCTGGAAGAAGATAAGAAGACCACAAACCCATTGGCGCGGGTTTCCCTATTAAAATACACACCCAAATAGTCCTTAGAGGTGTCCATGCTTGTTCTATTTGCATCCCATGGGCCACTGACGTCTTGAGCGATGTCGTTGGACTGATCTCGCGGGGAACATTCCCCCACCTCGGTCGGTTGGAGGCCATCGCTATTAGGGTGAAGACCAATGCTGGTTTTCTTCGGCCCTCCTTCCACCTGTGGTGAGCCACACCTATCTGGACAAACAACGTGACGAACCTTGGATCCACCTGTGCCCTGCACTGGGCGAAGTTGCATTTGCAGATGCAGGTGCCATGCCAGCAGCTCTACCAGGAAGCGCAGGAGACACCTGCTTTTCGCCATGCGCTGCCATGGCTTAGGTCTCAAAATCTCAAAATCTCATTATTCTGCTCTCCACAGTACCCGAGAACACGATTTGTTTCCATTCTCTGGACATTGCCGCTTTGTTGCGCTTGGGATGCAATATTCGGCGTTGGCAGCAGATCTCCGAATCCGGCCCATAATAGAGGACATGTTGTTCCAAAATAGTCTCCCGCCAAGGCCCCTTGATGCAGGATGAAACCTTGCCAACGAGGACAGTTTCCCATTTTTGAAAGGCCACCTGTACTATCCTGTACTATATAGATACTTGGGATTTGTTGATCAATGGAGGATTTAAGTCAGCCACCTATTTAGGGTGTGGGTTCCGTCACCTTTGACTGCTTGGATGATTTGGTGCACTACCCAAGTGCACCAAATCTGGGATGATCTCCGAAACCGTGGTCTTCACCACGCATGACCACCGTGGCCCAAGCCCTCTTGGTCGCCCCGATCTTGCGACAGGAGATCTTTTGGAACAAAGTGGTCCTGTCTCAGACGCTCGCGGCCGGTGGAGTGGGTGACGCGTCCGGTGAACAGGGCGAGGCAAAAAAGGGCGTCCGGGGTTCACCGTGCGGGGAACGCGGCGGTGAGGGATAGATCGGAGGCACCGAAGCACCGTTCTGGGGGAGGAGGAACGAGGTACGAGGCACCACTCGTGGTAGGAGGTTGGTGGTGAAGATCAAGTTCCATGGCCTGATCGCCTTTGGGAAGATCTAGTGGAGCGACATGAATGGTTTCTGTACGTGAAAAGGGAGGCCTGGTGCATGAACAAGGAATGGGAAGGACTCGGACACCAAGGCTGGAGTCGGGCGACTTTGCGTGGTTTGAGGAGATTCCAATATGTAAAGTGAAGCACCGATCACTGATTTGATCGTATATATAACTGAATATAACTGATAGTACTCCCAAATCATTGTGTGGCTTCGTTGATGACGAGAGTCTAAGGGAGGGCATGCTGGGAGTTCCACAGCCAGCCAGAGCATGAGCTACACGAACAGCTTGTTAAACGACTTAGTGACGACTCCTCAAGGATGCCCAGGCCCTGAAGACCCTGAAGGTCCTGAAGGTTTTTATCACAGCACGCAGCATGCAGCACGCTGATTCCCACCAGTAACATCACTTACCCCTGGCCTGTTGGGTTCGGCGGCCCGAAAAATACACAGTCCAAATATCGTGTACAGTGTAAGACACAAACACACGTTACTGCAGTCTAGTGTGGTCTAGTTGTGGTCTAACTAGTTGTGGCCAGTGCTTCAGATGATCTGGAAGACTGACGGCAGTCCGAAGTCTCTTTGCGTTTCAGTCTCACCCAGGCACCAGGTCTACCAGCTCGCTGCAGGTCGAACCAGGTCTTGGGGCCGGGGACAGTCTGAAGCCAGCTCCGCGCTCCGCAGGACATCAAGAAGAACGGCATGGGTGCTTTGGAGAAGCTCCTCGGCTCTCAGCCTTTGTGGGCGATCAGCGGCGATCAGGGTCAGGTTGGAAGCGCTGGACGTTACTCGTAGACGAGGTTCACCCGTGTCGTAACGACACGGAGGATTCGACCGGCGTCCAACATGGTTTTTAGGTCACCCCCCAGAAGGAACTTTCTTTACTTCGAATGGGGCTTGCGATATCGTCTTGAGACTTCGAATGGGTTTGCTCATTCGAATGAGCTAAGAGGGTCGTATTTGAAGGTGTCCATGTTCTCAGTGGTGCTTTGCTACAGACCCCTCCCCAGCTCACGGAGATGGACCACTCAACAGATCAGCCTGATCTGTCGGAGTGCCAACCCTGGGGGTGGCTGGTACTCTCAAACACCCCCCAGACCAGACCAAGGCTACATTGGGGGTAGTTTCAGGGGTCAATGCAGGTCTTCCATATAAATATAATTTGGATTGTTTCGGGACGTCGTTTGTCCTGCTGACGGAACCAAGACGCTTCGGTCCTTTTTTGTTTTTTAGGCAACACAACGGTCCCCGGACATCCATGGTTTTACACGCTGGAGCACTGCATTGAGGTACTGGAAAGATGAGAAGCTCATGGCTAAGATCTCCAAGGCGCCGAACCCAACACCCAGCGGAGCGACGTGAAACGGGAGGGCGGTCGCTCTGGCTTCCCGACTGAATGACTTGTTTTCTTGGCATGTTTTCGGAGGGAACTCCAAAGAACATCCCCGAGCACTAGCGGCTAGGTTCTTTGCTTTCATATCTGGAGGACAGTCAGGCTTCTGAGCTCCATTTGTACGCTTCTGAGACGGGCCAAGCAGGCGTTGAGACCTCTGAGACATGACAAAAGCTTGGACATTCTTTGGACTCAACCATCAATTGTTTAAGCTCAGAAAGTCATGAAAAACATCTCAGAAAGACTTTAATGTTGTCCTTTGGACATTCCTGGTTCGACCATCCTTCTAGACTGGGACGGCCGGCTTTCGTGACTGGACCTTGGCTGCTTTGCTGGTGTTTTTTTCGATTTGCGTTTGCCTCAGAGTCGGCCCAAGGGGTCAAGAGTCAAGATAAAACTTGGGTCAACGTACCAGCTGCTTCCTGTTCGGAGTTTTCTTGGCTCACACTACTTATTTAATATTTTATTTACACACAATAGTAATGACCTTACAGTATATAGGCTTGCATTGGACACCTGGTGTATCCCAAATTAATTGGTTGTTGTTGTTCTTTCTAAAGCTTCAACTCTCTTCATGTCTTGGGATTCCGAGCGGGATTCAATTTACCACAACGATGGTTTTTTGACGTCAAACCTGGCTTTCTTTGGGTCCAAGGATGTCGACCCAAGTCCAAGGCTTCCGTCCAAGGCTCTGTTGGATCACCTTCGACTGATTGGCGGGCGGCTGTGGTCCCAAATCATATGAACTCCCGTGGTGAATCGATGTCCGTCCTCGTCGCTACGCATCGTTCGGTCCTGAAGCCAGTGAAGTCCAGTCGCACGGAGATGCTTCGAGCCTCTCATCGCCGGGTTTCCTCAAAATCACCACGCCCAGGGCCTGAGGATGACCATTTAGCTTAGTTGTGGACTGTGACTGTGGACTCCTGAATATTCTCAAATGCTCCTAATAGTAATTACGGTAGGTCGAGCCAAGTGGAGTCCAACTCTGGTATGGCCTCCTTATTTGCCTCATGTTCAATTATAATATAATATTTTTATATTATATATATATATCACAATTCCTCAATGATTCAATTATGCAATTATTGATCCAAAAGTAATATCAAATATATCAAATGTATTTACCTGGAGTTTCAAAGGGGTGCGATCCATGGAGATTTTAGGGGTGCCCATCATCCACTCATTGGATGGGACGAGCCACACCACTCTTTGGTGAACCCTGGCAATGATGAAAAACCAGTTGAAAAACATATTCCAAGTGTTTTCCACGTGTTGTTTTACTTGTTTGGGCCTCCCCTGCTAAGCCCGTCGCGAAAACCATCCGTCCCAGGCCATGGCAGCCTAAGCCGGGAGGAGGTCGGAGAGGGCGGAGAGCCCGGGAAAAGAGGATCGTCCGAAGGTTGAAACGGGCGGTCCGGGGTTCCATGGGTGGATTGAGAGTATCATGGATGTAGATGGCACACATGTCTTTTCAGTTTGGTGGTTTAGTATAGTGGACTTTTTTAGCTGAAAAAAAAAGCACAAACATACATCTGCCGCCATCGAAGCAAATTGGGGGGACATCGAAGCAAATGGCCTCCAACATCGTGGGCAGCACCGTGGAAGCAGGTGCGTTCGATCATGACAGCCTGGTGGGATGCTCGGACACCTTGTTTTGTGTGGGGATTTCAAGATTCAAAAAGGCATTGGAATTTCACATCACTTCACCCAAGTCGAAGGGTCAAGTGAAAGGGTACCTTTACACAAGAAGCATGAGGTCATTCAAACTACACTCCTTGACGCACTAACAGGCTAGAGTCTAGAGCATCAATCACCTCTTGTGTGGAAGAATAGTGACGTTTCCAGGGGCCATCCACTTGCATGGAACGTGAAGTCGTTTGTGTTGCACATGAACCCTGGTCACCATGCAGTATGTGCTTGTCCCAACTACTAAAGGCATCTGGCCTACCTCCGTTTCGAAGGTGGTTGGGGTGGGTTTGGGGGTCTCACGACCTTCTGAGTATATGGTTGGAGCCCTATTATAGGGCTATATCGTTTTTTCATGTTTTTTGTATCCCTAGTCACAGCTGAAGGCCGGTTCTCTCAAGACCCTCCTCCATCCAACACCTCGAGCCATTGGGCAAGGCCTCCTTCACACAAGTTAAGGCCTGGCGGAGGACCCCCGGGGCCCTCCTGGGAGTGTGGCGTTTTTTCAGTATCATAGAGCAGGGTTTGGGGTGGTTCATGGACAGCCCTGATACAACCCCTTGTATAGGGGGGCTCTTGGTATAGAGCATGGAATTTGACCTGATTTGTTGTGAGAACATGTGAGAACATACATCGAAAATTGAGTACCCGCAATGGATTCTTCTCAACAATGATGTTGGGCGAGGGAACTTCCAGAGAGTTGATGACTGAAGCACCAAAAAAGAAGTAAAGTCGAGTCGAAAGCTGTAACATGATGTAACATGTGTATATTTTTATACACTAAAAGAACAACATATTACAATAGATCGATATAAAACGGTCGCACGTGTTTCCAGGGTCATGGGAATCAGCTCCATGGTCATGGGAATCATGCTTGGTGCAGACGTCCATCGATGGTCTTCGACGGTTGAAGTCGACGGGACACACGTCGTCGACGGGACACCAACGGTCGTTTCGATCAACACACGTCGTGACGGGAGGTTCCCCATGGGTTCGGGAGAAGCGCCCAAACGACGTGTGATACCTCTCTCTCATTCGCGGAATTCAATGGATCGTTCGATACACAGAGAGAGCGCCGAGACCGGACCATACCGGATTCCTGGTTTTGATAGGAAAGGAACAAAGCTTTTGGGGTGACCTAGTGGTCCAAGAGGTCAGGAATCGATGCGGTCCATCTTTTCGCAGCCCCGTTTTGAACATATCGGGTGCGCCCCAAGCGATCCAGCTTGCGTTGGCCGTTCTCGAGGTTTCACCTCGTCGGCAAGCGTTTGCTGGGCGGCTCTTTTTTTGCGAAAGGCAGGGGAATGGACCACGGTTGATGGGTTGCACGATTTTCACCGGCGCTCGCATGCGCGAGCCGCTTTTGTGGCAACGAGGTCCTTGGCTACAGATGACGTCCGATCATACTGGGCAAATGATGTTAATGTTTCAATCGGTCCGATCATGCAGCGCAGCATGTTGCAAGTGTACAGACTCAGACTTCATATCTGAATCATTCTGCAGAGTGACCACTCAAAAAATTTCAAAGATATCTCAAGATGTCACAAATTGAGAAACCAACCCATTCAACATCCACCACGCAAGAAGGCCAAGCAGAAACCGATCCCCAGTCACGTCTCGCCCCGTCTCGTCTCGCGTCCGCGTCCGCGTCCGCGTCCTCCAGGTGCCTTTTGGGGCACCGAAGAGTCGACGTCGAGCACCGCAGCTCGACTCGGTGGATTTCAGCACCGAAAAGCTTCTACAGTAAAAAGGGCGACGGCGGCCTGGCCGGGCAGTGTGAAGGAGTTCAGTTCGATGCTGTGGGAGTCACAGTGGCACAACGCCGCCAAGGCACCGTGTTCACTGATGTTCACTGGATGCTAAACTGCTAGTTAGTGGGTGTGGAGAGTCTCAACTTCTGCATATCCTGAAAATACACTTTGCTAGTATATATGATTTGTTTGCAACAGACGAAAGACGGGTGGTTGTTTCTGACCATATTCTTGTGTTCAACCTTTACCTGGGTTCATCCTGGATGATTGAACCCACGCCACTGACTATAATATGGTTCAAGTCAGCTAAAACGAACATAATCGCACTGCTATGCTGTTGGAGGAAGTTGAGCCCTACACTACTCAGCATATCCATGAAACATCACAAAAGAACATGACATTTCTATACATGCCATTAGATTTAGTGGTGCAGCATAGAAGGATGCATTGGGTAGATTTTAGATGCTCATGTAGTTCTGCTACTCAGCTACTCATGATTTCATTCGGGGGTTGTGTGATGTGGCGAAAAGACAGGCTAGATACATTTATGGAAGTCGACATATATAATTTGCAAGGGGACGTTCTCCAAGCAACGCTGGTTCTGTAAAGAAAGGCTTTTTGTGTCTCCTGGGCCCTTGTGAGTCTTTGTGCTTTAAGCTTGCCAGGCAAGAAAACAACATTAACCTCGCATCATACGCTAAAGCATAACAGGGAGACTTTTGTGTTAGGGAGACTTCTTTGGTTGTCTCAAATCTGTTCAACATCTCTTTGCATATGGAATATGGGTCAAAACCTGGAGCCCCCACACCGTGTGGCTTGACCTGATGTTGATAGGTCAACCGCTCGGTCTCCCGGTGACCCAGAACGGATGGAACTGGTCCAGGTTTCTTGTCCCGTGCGAGGTTGGAAGTAGAACATATGACTCATATGACATGCAGCCCCCCAGCCCCCTATAGAGGAGGCTGAGCTTCAGCAACTGGTGAAGGGCCCCACGGATAGGGGAGTCGACCAGGAAGTGATCATTTCAACCGACATCGTTTTTTGATGGATTTGAACTACTGCCAAGATCATGAGAAGGAAAGTGGACTCAAAGACTTTTGCTTGTTACTCTCCCTAGAATCAATTAACATGGAAGTGGAAAACCACCTGTTTGTACTGGAACATGGTCTTCCAAGGGGTCACTCTCCACTTCCATGTTCGTTCCAGGGAGAGTAACATGATCCCTTTCTTTGGGACCCTCAGCTACCAGCCACCAGTCCGGAGGCGGCAAGCCGTGCCCTAGCTCGCTGTGGCCCATAGCTGCAAGGGCCAGTTGGGACGAGACTGGCGTCCCTCAAAACATCATGGGCTAGGCTGATCATGGAGGAGTACTGAGAAGTAATGCTGAATGCGCGGGCAAAAGGGGTCTATGCCCATGCTTGATCGTTCAATAAGTTTCAATAGATCTTTCAATCGTTCACCTGTTTGCAAGACATACTACAGACATACTGTTGATGGACAGAAAGGCTTTGCAACGTAATATACGCTTCCAGTATGCAGACCGTCAACAGTACCTTTTCAGGGGTCGTTGCTGATCTGATGACCTCAGGGTACTGGCCACTCGTGAACGATCACCAGGGAGATGAATATAATTGTTTGTGCTGTCAATGTCGGTTTAACTTGGAGGTGTCCCATAAAACCTGTAACAGTCGGTAAACGATCAAATCACTATGTTGGAGAAAGGCCTGCAACCTAACCATCATCATCCACTGTTACCGGCAATAGGATATACCCAGCGTTTATTTTAACTACTTTCTGTTGGTTTTACGTGCTGACCACCGTAACCTCACACTGCTTCAGCGCATCAACGAGCGCAACCACGAGCACGGCCAAAAAAAAACACGTACCACCGCCCCGCCTTCAGAGCCTTTCGACAGCGCCATGGTGAGACCACGGAGCCTGCCGTGGGGCACTCAATGGCAAGAAAGTGGATCTACCATGGATGTTCGTTAGGGTGCTATCCGTGGAGGTTAGTTGGGGGTGCACCTGTCACATCCACTCACTGGATGGGACGAGGCACACCACCCCCGACATTTGACCCCTGGTACAAGAACTCACTCTTTCTTGGTAACTGCAAGGAAGTCTTTGGTCGACTAGACTTCTAAAACGACGACGATGTTCATCGAAAAATGGCCCTAAATGTTGGGGTGTTTCTCATGTTGGTCTTTCTCCAACCCACCACCTGTCGCACAAAAAAGACGATGGACCACCGCTCGCGAACAGGTGTGGGTTTTGTCACCGTGGGTGACCCACAGGTTGGGCTGGATGTGGTTGGACGTGGTCGAAACAAAGGTCGGTGGTTTTGGGATGTTTTTTGGTTGGAAAAGATAGGTTAGTTATTTAGGTCCGTCCTGTTGCCTGTAACAGTCGCTAAACAAGAACATCACTATAACATCACCATTCGTCTCTAAAATTCCTTTAGAGATGGGTTCAGGCCTACAACCTAACCATACAACCTCCCACAGGCTGGATTCTGCCAACGCGGGCTGGACGAGGCGAGCGGAAAGACGCGGGGTAAACCGGACCTGAACCCTCCAACACCCACTCCGGACTGGAAAATAGACCCCCAAGAAAAACCACCCCAATGCAGTTAATGAGATGTAAACATGATAAACATATGACCTATACATGGAGTGCGTGGGTAGTGTTCACTGAGGACTTCCCGGTCGCCGCCGGTGCTTCTGACTCAGCGCCTTAGGCCGCCCGAGCGCGACGCCGGCGTGCTCACGGACTTCGGTCGGCCCGGAACCCGGGGGGGGGGGCGTTCCGCGGAGGACAGGTTTGGGAGCGAAGGATGCGCAAAAGCTTTAGGATCTCATCGCTAACTTGGCTTTAGGAGCTTAGGAAAGCTTTGGGTCCCAATCGGGTCTGGTTTTGGATGCTCTCAAAGAACAGCTTCGTGCCACGACATGGACTCTCCAGAGCTCGCTCTTGGCTCTTGTCCGATTCGGTTTTTCACTTCGGTGCTGCGTGTGAGCTGTGGTGTCACACCTGTGGTTGAGACGGTGTAGAAGGCTTGCTCCTACGGTACACGCTGAGTCGAGCCGGTGCGAGCTGTTGGTGTGATGAACTAGAGTCAGAGTGATCATTGACATGAAGAAGAGAAATAACTATATATAGATAGAACACCGTTAAGTTGTAGATGCTTCAGCTTAGCCTTACAGCATCATGATCATATTGAAATGACACCCAAATTGTTTTGTTGGAATCGGGAACGGATGTTATGGTGACCCTGGACTGGACCATGGATTTCCAATCTGAATGATCCCACCATACTGTATGTTGAATGAACACCTGTCATGCACTTCCGGGACCTTAAGTTTCATGAGTTCCTGAAAGAGACCTTTGTTGAACTGCTGAAAGATCTGGGCAAGGTACTTACGTGTCACGGGTCAGGAATTGTTTCGTTTTCTTTCCATCCCAAAGGTCCCAAAGGACTTTTGGCATAAGCCGAGTGTTGTTGCAAAGACTATGTGGAAATGCTCTGGTCCTTTGCATGTCATCTTCCTTTAGGATCTTCTCCATGGCCAGCTATCGAAAACTGCAGCACAGGCGATCGAAACGAGCTGAACTCGCGTATACTAGGGGAACATGACTCTAGAGATGCACCTGAATACACCTGAGAGATCCTGAGAGGACACGAGCCGAGCTGAAGCAAAGGAGCTCAAAGGAGCTCATCATCTTTGCAAAAAAATCACCGCCGCACCGCCTTTTGACACACGCCGGATAGCGGCAAGTCAATGTGGGTGTTTACACACGTGACCAGCCCACAGGTTCCTTTTGACACTTTGTTTCTGGTAGGGCGGCATAATTGAACAGACTCATATAAACTAAACCATCTAAACTATCTAGAACTTCAGCCCAGCTTGTGGCCTGTGTAGCCAAGCCTTGCTTGCTGTCCTCGCCTTGCTTCGCATGCTGCCATGGCCGATCTGGGCGAAATCTGGGAGCAAGCGAAGCGCTTCCAAGACCGGCGAGTGGTGGAACTCGCCTCGCAAGCCATTCGCAGGCGCGCGGAGCGAGCGAGCTTCGGACGTGCAGAGACGAGGGAGGAACCCGACGCGCAGATGGTTTGAGTGGTTTTGGAAGACTCTGGGAAGAGGATGTGATGCTGATGTTACTTAGGGAGAAATGACATCTACCTACCATCCGCTTTTGCCTGTGTTCAAGCTTTGAAACCATACATGTGTCGTCGTGTCGTTTCTTTTCTCACTACACGTTGGAGGTATACCTCACGCGTTCTCATCAATTTCCTGGCAAATCAGTGATCACGTTTGTGCATTGGCGGAATGTGGGTGGAGAACTTTGTTTGCCCACCATCTCAGAAATATATTACTATATTGTACTATATTGACAGTTTCATCAGTCAAAACTGTTGCTTCAAATCCCTTTTCGTGCTGTTGCAACATGCGTTTTTTAAATCCCTTGTCGCTCCACTGAAAAGCCTGCACTGAAATCAGCCTGGGCTGTCGAATTCGTCCTCGATTTTGCGGCGTATCGAATCGAGGCGTTCGGAGATCGAGTCGCTCGTCGGTGCCGCGGAAGCTTTGCGGCTGCTCGTGGCAGCGAAGCTGGCCTTGCTGGAGGATGCCATTGAGGTGGCGCGTGCAGGCGGAGTTCCACGCGCGTGTCGGAGTGTCCGACGTCCGAGTTCCCCACAGAGTGGGACAACACAGAGTGGGACAACACAGAGTATGCCTCACGCAGGAGTGTCCCACCAGAGTGGGACACAAGAGTATCCTACAAGAATTGTCCAGAAGAGTGTCCTAGAAGAGTATTGCACAAGAGTGTCAATCAACAGTGTCGCACCTTGCGTGTCCTGATATAGAAGATTGTTTGCCCTGCCAACATCCATTTCACTTCATGTCTTCTTCTGTTGGTCCTAACCTCTGCTGGCTTTGTACTTGCCCAGTTCAGTTGGATTGTCATTTTATAGAAAAACATAGAAACACTTCTTTCCAGCTTTATACACCGAGTAGGTCATTTCATAGAGCCAGATGTGTTTTGCTTAAGGTTGGTCACTTCATTTTATGGTTCTGCATGTGAAAAAGAGCCGAGGTAGGACATCCCATTTTATAGAGAATATCTGTTCATCCGTTATGCTTGCACGGGATTATTTTCACGAGGCCTCCACTCCTCCGCACTGCGCACAGACGCCCGCGCGGATGCGCTGCGGCTGCTGGCGCTGGCAGAGGCAGTGAGAGGAAGTTCGGGTGCAGAGAGGCAATACTCAGAGGCCATTGCAGCAGCAGAGAAAGCCTTCCTGTTCTTCATGGACCATGGCGATGAACGACATCAGGCGGCCGTTTTTCTTTGCTATGGTTTTCCAACTCACAAAGACATGGAAGTGGTGGTTCTGTTTTTTCAGTGATCTCGAGTGTTTGGAAAGGTGTTTGGTATGCTGCAGAAGTCTAGCGTTTGGACGTAAGAATCAACAGGACGTCATCAGGGCCTCCGTCCTGGCGGAATGTGGTGTAGGGCAGCAAGGGGATGTTTATTTGCCACCCTTCCAAGACAATGCGAATGTTTCTTGAAGGAAGGGTTGGTGGTTGGAGAAGAGAATTGGATTCTTTCTTCAGGTTTCTTCCATCATCAGCGGGTGGGCCCATGGCGTAGATAGATAGTAAGGGGGCAATTGTTTCACCGTTTGTCCCATTACCTGTAACAGTTGGTAGACAAGAACATCACTATCTTTAGAGAGGGGTTCAGGCCTACAACCTAACCATCATCATCCACATGTTGGTGATAGGATAGACCCAGCTGGATTCTCCGACACAAGCTGGAATTGGCGAGCGAGTGACCTCCTTACCTTCCTTACCCTCCCACTCCATGGGGGAAAAAACCGATAGCTGGAGACATCAACCCCAAGGAAAAGCCCACCCACCTGACTGGATAGACCCAGCTATCCTTCCCAGCTTTGACCCTATCCTTCCCAGGTGGACGCCTCGGTGGCCCTGAGCCATCTCCATTTGCTGCGCGGCGAGTCGGGTGATTTGCACCTGGCGACCCAAGCGGCGGAGCGCGCGGTCGCGAGCGCCGGGGCGTGGCGAGTGGAGAACGGACGGCAACGAGGCCAGGGGGAAGGATCGTGCTTTTCGAGGTGTTTTTGATTTGTTGTTTTTTTCGTGCTTAGAAAGGACATTAAAGGAATATAAGGATGCACCATATATCAATAAATCCTAAGGTATCTCATATCATCTCATATCTCTTGGTGGTCATACCCTCATTCATGTCTGCGCATGAGTCGCATGAGAACAGTCAGTTTGGGATGGTCCTGTTTCGGAACTTTCCTGAACATGCGGTGGTGCTTTTGTGATGTCAGGGTCGCTGTCCCTACACTGGGAAAAACGCGTTCAATCTCTTGCAGCCTCCAAATGAATGAATCTGCAAAGCTCTGGTGATCTTCACTGGGTTTTGCCATTTTTAGAATGCTTTAGATAGTAGTTCTCATACCCAGAAATCCTAGAACTTCTTCCTGGCAGAAATTTTGGCTGATGGGTAAAGGCGCTATTGCCTACTGAAGATCTATATAGGTATAGATCCATCCAAGCGATTCTGCTCCAGATTTCGAGTTCTCCATCCCAGCTCACAGGTCAGGCGCTGCTGGCTCGAGCACATGCCGCCCACGCGACCGCTCAGGGCGACCGGCGCGGCGCGCACGCGCACGAGGACGAGCTCGCGCTGCGATGGGCCGATGAAGCGCTGGAGCTGGCGCAAGAACTGGGCGATGCACCACTGGAGCCGTGGAGCCAAGAAGAAAGAGGTGGTGGTCGATCTAAAGGTCCCTAATGGGGATGAAGGAATTGAGATCAACACCCATGTGTTTGATTGTGTTTGTTGTTGTTGTTGTGGTTGTGGTTGTGGTTGTTGTTGTTGTGTTTGTTGTTGTTGTGGTTGTGGTTGTTGTTGTTGTTGTTGTTGTTGTTGTTGTGGTTGTGGTTGTGGTTGTGGTTGTTGTGGTTGTGGTTGTGGTTGTGGTTGTGGTTGTGGTTGTTGTTGTTGTTGTTGTTGTTGTTGTTGTTGTTGTTGTTGTTGTTGTTGTTGTTCGTGTTGTTGTTGTTGTGGTTGTTGTTGTGGTTGTGGTTGTGGTTGTTGTTGTTGTGGTTGTGGTTGTGGTTGTGGTTGTGGTTGTTGTTGTTGTTGTGGTTGTTGTTGTGGTTGTGGTTGTGGTTGTGGTTGTTGTTGTTGTTGTTGTTGTGGTTGTGGTTGTGGTTGTGGTTGTTTTTTTTTTTTTTTTATGGATGTCAATGCCGACTTGGATGTCTACCAGATATCACAAGCACAGATCATCTGAGCAACAGCCGTGTGCCCAACTTCGGATCCAAAGGAGCGCTCTCTTTACTTTGGTAAAGTGGGGTTGTTGGACTTCTCTTCCAGACATGTTTCCAACTATGATTCTCCAATCTTCTCCATGTTCTTCCCAAATCTGGACCTGTTGGATCTCGGATCTAGAGAACCTTCCAGGGAGTCATGTTCTTGTTCTTTCCTCAGCTCTTTCGCCTAGGAAGTGGAGGTGAGATCTTCCATGGCTCAGTGGTCTGCCAGGCGCTCAGACGCCGCGGCCACGCTGCTACAGGCGGACGGCTTATTTTCGGAATCTGCGGTGGATTGGTCGATTCGCGTCTTTCATTGGGTGTTCATCATGATCTCCACACGTGCATATATCAATATTAATAGAATGTGTACTGTATACCAAGACCTTCAAAGTGACCGAACTTGAGATCCCAGGATGAGGTCACAAACAGGCCTGTAAAAGGCCACTTAGAGACTCCAAAGCCTTAAGACTCCAAACCTCCGCAGATTTGTGTCTTTTTTCTGTCCACAAACCCACCCATGCAACTGAAGCGTTCGGCCATTTCTGCCAGGCCAAGGAGGCTCTCGATCTTCTCCAAGAGTTGGGTGCCTCGAGCCATCGGCAGATCGCCTTGACGCGCCTCGCGGCCGACGCAGCGGTACAGCTGAAGGATCCACAGCAAGGCGTACGGCTTTGCCAACAGCTGGTGAGGCGAGTGCTTGTTGTGTCTGACACGCGCCGAGGTGGCTGTGTATTTTATGACTTGTTTAATAACAGTTTGTCCTTGACGCGTTTCTTTTGGGGATTGCTTTGCAGGTTCATAATAGTGGGAGGTTAAGGAACAGACATGCAAATGGCGGTGGTTTGGTGGAAGCACGATCCGTTGCTGGTAATAAACAATTGTGTCACCGTCCCCCCCCAACCCAGCGCCACACCCTCTGTCAAACCCAGCGCCTGAACTCCGCCCAGCCGATGCGAGGCTCTGCCGCGTGGAGAAGGCCGAGGTGCCGGGCGTCTTCGCGGCGCTGCAGCTGCTGCGGACGCTGGTGGCGGCTCAGCGCTGGGAGGAGGCGAAGACCACCGGCCACGAGTGGCTTGGTGATCGGTGGGTTTTTTCCGGGTGCTCAAAGAAGATGAGTGGCTGGAACTTTAAAAGCTCAAGAATGGATCTTAACATGAATGCTTTTTTTTGCGTTAGGGGTGTTTTGTGTTGCGGTGTACTTGTTGGCTTCTGCGTTCAGGCCTGTGAGACGGACTAAAGATGACCAAAGGCTTTTTTTGAACAGACAATTCTGTCCCCAGATGGCCGGAAGTCTTCTTTCGAAGAAAACCCGAGTGAGAAAAGAGCTCTGAGTCCGTGCCATTCCGTGCAATCCTCTTTTCAAAAGACATGCCACTGACCACTGACAAAGCCTCGTATTCTGACTCTTTCAGTACTACTTCCATCCCGGAGAGCCCGAGACACCCACCGCTGACGACCACCGGCTCATACCTCCAGATATCGATCGATTTGTCGACTTCAGGGCATCCACTCCACTAAGTATGCTTGATTTGAACACTTCATGCCCCGACATGATAGAAACAACACCTGAACAGGGTGCACATTCTCCTACTTTTTTGAGGTACTAATAATATCGATCTATAGAGTATATATTTAATATATATGATGCCATCCCTTGGTGACGACTCATACTGCCACTTCTACTGGTAGTACATAAGCTTATGTGCAACATTGCCACCTTAGAGGGAAAACATCATATGGATGGAGAGACTGTTGCACAAAAAATTGCAAACATGTTTGGAAACAGAATCATGTCATGTATGACTTGGAGACGTTCTCCTTCGTCTCAGGTTTTCTGCGCCACGCACGCCCCACAGCGGCCCCACCCGCCCCACCCGTGGCGATTCACTCATTCCCTGGGACTCGTCGTTCCATAGAGTCGTCCAGGATCGGATCCGCTTCAGCATGTTGGCCTTAGGATCCTGAGCTTTTGCCAGCAGAAAGAGGACTTGCTATGTGAAGCGCAGGTCTTGCGCTTGCTGCTGGAAGCCTATCGGAAGAGCTCGGCATCAGAGAGCCTTGGACTTGTCCCCAGCTTCTGAAGGTGGGACTTGGAAGATCGGTGACGTGTTCTTAGATATTATATCGCAAGTTATATCGCATGCTATAAGAATTATGGCTGAACCAAAGCGTTGTGTTCCCTTTGCACCCCCTGGAACTAACATGAAGTATGAAGACCATATTCCTCTATGTCAAACAGAGGTTATTTTCCACTGCCATGCTAGTTCCAGGGAGGGTACTTTCTGAGGATGTTGTCAACCTGGCAACGCTCCCTGGAGTTGGTGCCCCTGGTGCCACAAGTGAGCACGGCAGTGGAGCTCCTGACCGAGGTCCTTCAGGCTTGACCTGTGGTCCGCAAGTCTCCCAAAAGCGTCCGGAATCTGAGTTGAACTTCCTAGGGCTCCAACCACATCCGGGTTTGGCGGCTCTAACTTAACTACCTTCTGAGGATGTGGGACAAGCGTCCTAGGGAGATGTTAGTACATGTTAGTACCACCCGCAGGGTGGTTATCCCCTCTGACCATGCGCTTTCCATATCATTATTGCGTAACAACCCGTTGGGTGGTGCTGGTTTGTTAGTACTGACTCATGATTACAATTTTGCAAGTGAAGTGCGGCTTGGCGTCGGACCAACACCTGAGTGCACGGTGTTTTTGTTTGGTGAGTCACCACATTCCAGCCCTGCGGTCACCCCAAAACAGACTTCAGTGGTCAGAGCACAGTCATACCTGGATCTTCCAACTATGCAACATTTTCTGCCGACCCTGGCTAGTGTTATAGATGAAAAAAGGCAGACCTTTTGCAGCAGTTGGAAGATCCAGCGACCAGAAGCTTGAACCGAGTGCGCTGCCAGCGTGCGAATGTAGCCGAAATGGCAAGCCTGTTCAGCTCAAAAACGATGGACTATATATAAATTGCTTTGATCCCCCGTCTCCTGGTAGTTTTCAGGTTCCATGTAGCTCTCTTCCAGGGTGCAGCCTCCAGAAGAAAGCGGTCAGCCCCACACTAGCGCCACCAGTCACCTCATGGCGGTAGCATTCTCTTGCATTTGACCACCGATCTCCGATGTTGGGTCCTTCGGTCAAACGGTCAAACTACGTCAACAGACGGTAGGTGAACAAATTACATCGTCTTAACGTCATTCACCGCCTACGGTCTGTCGGTGGGTTTTCTGGTTGTTTTGGAGAGCGGCTGGAAATCGCTCCTCCCACCCAGACTGGCCATGTTCGTGATCGTCGTCCTGGTTCCAGGCCTCCGCTCCACTGAAAAGGCCCTTAGAGGCGCTGCCCTGCGCGATGCAGCTGCAGCTTGGAGGAGCTAAGTAGCATCCAGCTCGTGGTAGATTTCGTTGCTTTTGGGGGGTGTTTGACCAGTCGTCATTCTTCCGAGCCCGAGCCTCCGAGCCTCCGAGCTCCTCCGAGCCGAGCCCTGGACCGAACCCCCCGGTCGATCCGGCCCACGAATCGTCCAGATTCGATGGATTTGATCGAGGGGGGAGGTCCAGACACAAAATGGATGTTGGTCCATCCCCACAATGGCTCCATGAGGGGTGGATTCAGTGCGATGCCAGCTTCAGCTTGAAAACTCCAGCCTTCACCCGCCCTGGAGCCCCGCAAAACTCCGAAGACTCCTTTGTGTCGCAGGGCGGATCCGGGCTCTGCGTGCTTGATTGGGGAAAAAGGGAAGACCCGCCCCCAGGCAGGCGCTGGCACCCATGGAGGTCAAGGCGCCGTTGCTGATGGCCATGGGATCTGCTCTCTTCGAAGGCGGCGCATTGGAGGAATGCTGCACCTTGGTAGTGGTTGGTTGGTGTTCTGTCATGTGTGGTTGGTGTCGAAGCTGTCGCACCAGGCTGTCGTTGGAAGGGAGGGCGGGAGGGCGGGACTCGGGCGACCGACGGGCGACCGGACGAAGGAAGAGACAGAGTCTTCCGAAAACAGCCCGACGTGGGCTTTTCGGGTTCCATCCTTTCCAGGGCAGTCGTCGTTTTCCAAATTGTGGTGTTCAGGACTGGAGGACTGGAGGACTGGAGGACTGGTAAAGTCTTCGACATGACGGTTGGTTGATTGGAGGGATTTGAACAACCATTCTGCATTTGCATCATATGTTCAGAGCCAGTTAGGATTTCGATAGTATTGAATAGTCAGGCTTGTTGCAGCCAAACGCCTGGCTGAGCAATTGACAGATGCGTCCATACTTAGTATGGAACTGGCAGTTGCGGAGAGCAGACCATGACCGGAGGTTCATGTGGTTGATTAGTTTGGGGTCCACACTCGCCCAAGTGAATGTGTTGCTCGATGGTACGTAGTTGGACATCCTCAAACGAACCATGTCCAGACCTCCAGCACCCCAACCCTTCCGGCCCTTCCCCCCAACCCTTCCGGCCCTTCCCCTAGAAGCAACCAGACCATCCCATCCCTCACCGGACCCATCCACCGTCCATGTCGGACCCTTTAAGGTCGCGTCGCTCAAGATTCGGCGCGCTTGGCAGAGGAGCTGGGAGATGAGGGACTCAGTGCCCGCGCGCTGGCGCTGGTCGCCAATGCCCAGGTGGGAGAGTCGGACAGGGCCGAGGCGTCACTGCCCTGGCACGAGATGGTCCTGTGTTTTGGAGCAGCGACGTTTGTAGCGAAACCCTGAAAAGAAGCAGAGCCGCCACATCGAAATCAATGACTGAAGTTTGTAATGGTGGGCACCCATGCCAGCCTTCATGCGGATGGACTGAGAACCTCCTGTGATGGGAATGTTCTTTCGAAGCTGTAGATTCCAGATGAATGTGGCTTCTTAGTGCTTTTCCAAGAGTCGCCATCAGTTTCCCTCAATGCGCTGTCCCAATGGGTCGCGCTCGACCCCGAACCCTTTGCGAGGCCCAAAACGAGACCCAAACGAAGGCTCAAGTCATGTTCGGAACTGTCTTCCTCCAGAAAACCTTGGGCAGACATAGGCAGATTCCATTTCAGTCATGCGACCACGCCTGTAGTGAACCAGGGACCATGGGCATGTTTCTTGGTCGGTGGGGACTTCTAGTATTTCTCTAAGTCTATATACTCTCAGTCTATACAGAGCTCTTAGTAGCTTTGACCACTTATCATGTTGTTTTGCCGCAGCCGCAGCCGGGCTCAGGTGAAGCTGGGCAAGTTTAGCGCGGCCAGGCAGAACGCGCGGAGAGCGCGGAGGCGGCACCGAGCGCCGGACCGGGGAGTGCCAGGAACGCTGGATCGACTGAGCTGGAACGCCAGGAACGCGATTGGAACGGCGCCAGGAAGGGTTCCATGGATCTGCTGTAAAGGTCTGGGGTCCAGGAACAAAGATGGGAAGGTAGACTTAACGTGACTCCCAACACCTTCCACGTTTGAGGCACTAAAAGTATTAGTGAAGCTCAACTTACCAGAACACAGCACCTGGCGGCTGAACGCGCGAGGCTTTTTTCAGATCTTGGGGCGACACCTCCTCGGTCCTTCCGGTCGAGCCGCGGCGAGTTTTCTCAGTCGGAGCCGCGATCAGCGACGGTTTCGAAGACCGAACGACCGGGACACTCTCCGGTTCTTCGGGGTTCACCCGATGGAGAATGTCTCGTCAGTCGAGACATCCGGGGCAACGGAAGATGGGTCTGGAAGATTCCACCTTTCAACGGGTTACAATCTGACCGGTGCGTGAAATCCGGTGAAACCGACGCAGCGCCGGCTCCGGGACCTCGCGTTCTTTCAGCGCGACCAGGCGCTTCGGGGAAATCGGCGATCACGAAGAGGATGTGCGGATGCGAAGCTCGGGATTGATCCGTTTGGTTGATAGAAGTCTGTATGCACTTGAAGTGAGTTAATATGAGTCGTGTTTATTTGTTTCCACGTGACCAGCAAATTGCTCATTCCAGGTAATGTACACTCTTGATTCATAAACCCCCCCTTTGGATTTAAAACACCTCTTCAAATGTTTAATCAAGAGTCTATTGCTGCTCTATGAAAGGACCACAACTTTCATCTATGAAATGCGTGTTTGACCCGTATTTTATAGAGAACATATATGCTTATTTGGGCGGCCCTGCTGATGGGGTCTCGTTTGGGAGCACACTTTCTATTGTTGTTGATGTTTGTGAAACGGAGCCCTGTTGGGCTTGGATAGCTTAAGGCCAAGTTGCATTCGTGCCATTTTCGATTTGGTCCTAGTCCTAGTCTGGGTCAACAAGCACTTTAACTTTATTCTAACACTTTGAGATACGCAACGGATACACGAATCAACGGTATGGTTTTCAGTGTCCTATCACGGGTAGCCGCAGGTAGTCTTGAGTCTTTGAAACTAGTACAGTAAGACACAGTGAGTGGGATTTTCCTTGACTTTATAGTTTCAAGAAACTCGTTCACACGTCTGTCTGTATATATTAATATAAGTATATCACAATTTATAACATATTATACATATATCATAGCTGACATAGGTGTATGGATCCATAAGAGTCAATTTTTTGAATCCGAAGGATGTCAGCAGATGGACACTGGACGAAAGGACTGGAATGCTTGCTGTGGCCATTTGCACTAGTCACTAGTCCAAAACATCAACCATTCCCTACAGTGGGTGAGTTTGACCTGGTTTTACTGGAGTTGATCATACAAAACCGCTACTCAATGAGGTAAAGACCGGGTCTTGCTGGGTCTTTGGACTTGTAGGGAGTGTATATGGCTATTCCTCGTGGATGGAAAGGGCCCCTCCAGAACATCCCCTGAACAAACCCACCTGCACGCTCGGTTCATCTCGATCCATCCTTCCCATCCATCACAAGCAATTCACAAAGTGAGCAAACAATTCCATCCTGGAAGATCAACATGATTACCCATGAACATGATTCTGGTGAAACATGCCCAAGGGACTCCAAGGGACCATGGAAGAAACCATGGAACATCGCCCAGGGGCCCGAAACGTGCAGTCACTGTCATGGGCCACGTCGGTTCCTTCGGGGCGACACTCGCTTCGTTCGGTTCGGGCGATGTTGGGGAACGGCCGGTGGGCGGCCCGTGGGCGAGCACCCACATGCAAGGAAAGTGATGCAAACAGAATATCCTGAAACTGTTTGGGGAGTGTTTCAGCTCGTTTTATGCGAACTGAGGACTTCTAGTGGCCAAGGCCTGCTTGTGTCAGGACGAACGGGGCCGCAAGCAGCCGAAAGACGCCGCGGCGTGGCCCAAGTCGTGGGGGTCTGGTGACCGTCAGTGTAGGGCTGTCCGTAAGCCCGAACGAAAGCAGCTGGTAGAGATCAGGAGAAACTCCTGAACGGAAATTCCCTCTGTTTGGACCTTAAGAGTATAAGAGTACCTAGGTTTACACCTCGAGCACTTATTTCTGCTCATTTGAAGATCTAGGTATATAAAGTAGAGATTCAGGAACCAAGGAACTATAAAGAACTAGCTGTGAATTCATGTGCTGCGACTGCGACGCGAAGACATCACACACCGTTTCATTGGATTCTGCCGGGACGCATCGTGATTGATTTTCGATGGGTGGAACCTGGATCTTCCGGCTTTTTGGGGGCTTCCACCGGCCAGAGTTTTGGTGTTTGACCGGTTGTCTCTGGAAAATCCCCAGCAGCTGGGGCGGGGATTTGTTTTTGGAATCTAAACACACGGAAACATGTGTTTGAGCTGTATACACGTATAACATAGCTTATATATGACAGTTGTACATCGGAATGGGAGTACCTCCCCTCCCCCAAACCCACACAGACAGACACACGGATGACGGACTGTGGAATCGACGCATTCTTCAAGAATGGCCAGTCTTTGGTGCGGGGGCCCCAAGATCCTGAGCATACCGGAACTGGGTATCCCAGGTGCGGGAAGCCCAAGAAGCAGCGAAGCTGGCCAAAGAGCTAGGCGAGAGATGGCGGGTGATCGAATGAGGGACTTTTCGCCCCATGCCATAGAGATTCCTTTGGATCCAGCCAGTCGTCGTCGTCGTACCGTACGTCGGTCGTCCAGCGGTTTGTTTACTTCGGCCCTGAAAGGATGACGACGATGTTTGTTGAACTTCGGGTCTTTTTCATGTCCATTTGCAGACAGGGGTGGGATCGAACGACTGGATCCGACCAAACACACAACTGCGGCCACTGCGGGTGGGCCGGGCCAAACTTGGTAGATCAGGAGCTGAACAGTTAGTGACCGAGCTTCTGATCCCAGGTTTGAACGGAGAGGCCCGTCAAAGGTCACCCCAGTTTGATGTCACCAACTGGCCAGGTCCTGGTACATGTGTTGTCTTTCTTCCATGACTTGTTTGCATCACCTCCTCTCACCACCTTCATCTTCCAACACCACCAAGCGAACACCACCGCCCCAGTGCTCCGCGCGGAACCTGGACAGCCGCCCGGAGCGCTGTATAGCGCCGTCGTGACCGGTCAGGTCGCTCCCTCCCCATGTCCCTTGTTGTGGAACATGTATTTTTTTTGACCGCTACCAACTAGATAGAAAAGTAGATCCCCACTCAACATGCATTGGAAACCATGCCACTATCTATTTTGGGACCACTATAGTACATTATAGTACCATTTGCGGTGTTTGATGGGTTGGCACAACTTGTTGAGAGTGTTTCAGAACCAACACCAGTCTAAACAAAAAGCTGAACCTTGACAGGGTTGACAGTCCATCCCTACAATGCTATGTCTATGGTGGAGCTCATGGGCTTTGGGGTACTGAGCTCATGGGCTTTGATCTGTTCAGCCCCAGTGGAGTGAACGGACTCTTGAACGGACTCTCCAGACCCTCTAAAAAGCGCCACGCGCGCACTTCCGCGCCACGTGCGGAAGCGCCACGCGCGGCCCAACCCAGATGAGAAGAACTCGGAGCTGGTGGTTTCAAGCCTGGTCACGTTGGTCGAAGTCCTTTCGGAGGCGCAAGAGTGGGAGACTTGAGCAGTGCAAGATAGTGTGGGGTATTTGGAATGTTGCGGGGGTTGGTGGTGGCGGACGTGGAAAAGGGCGGGAGTGGCGGTGTTTTTGGGCTTTGGATGGTTTTGGGGGGTGGTTGACTGGTTTGTAGGTCTTTTGGATTGGAGGTCTGTCGAGATTGGATGCAGATGAAGTGACACGCATCGTCCAGTAGGTTCAGAGCAAACGTTCTGAAAACTCATCGGATCAACTCTTACATTGGGACCCAACGAACCCACTCTTTCAGGAGGTGTGCCATCCATGGCCCTGACTCTATTTTGATTTGTGCCTATAGAAGCTTCTGGACTGTTCAAGATGACCAGGTTTCCCGTTGAAGCTGTAAAGGCACGACCACATTCAGAAATCGGATCACCCTATTTTTGGCTTAAGGAGAATGAGCATTTACAGTAGCATTTGCAGCACTGGACAGGACACGTTCTTTCTTTTGTTTTTCTATTTTTTGTAGACTTTGATTTCTTGGGTGTCACGTTTCAAGAAGCTTTGTCATGTGTAGACTCAAATGAACATCTGGTACCATCAGTCGCTTTAGTGAAGGATAGAAGAACTGCACCAGCAATTGTGATGTGATTCTGCGCACCTTGTTTTCTTAAAGCCTTAGTATGACTTAGTGTTTTCCGGGAAAGTTCTGTGTGAACATTACTGTAAATACACAAGGTTTGGCTTCTGTACGTATGCCAGGGATATGATACAGGTGACGAGTGACAGACGTTTTTACAGCGCCACTCGTTCAATTGATGTTCTATAGGATTGTATATGTTTCGGTTGGTGGGGATTAAACCTGAATAAGAATCCATTTGCAAGGCTAGATACAATGTATATATATATATATGCATACATATCATATCCGTCATTGATGGTTAATGGTTGCACCTTTGAGAAAATCAACCTTCCCGTGTCGCCTCTGACCAATAAGGAAAAGTGCCAGAATGCATCTATCGAGCTGTTGCGTCAATACCCTGAAAAGGAGGCCTTTGCACTGCCACGTGGCATGTTGAATGGCTCGACCATGGAAGGCATGGCTATGGATAGGGATAAACGAAACTTGAAGATCCTGGATGCGACAACCGTTGGTGAAGTGAGCCAGGTAAAGAAGCCATTGCTGGTCTATGAAAACGGAACCAGTCACCAATCTTCTTGCACTTGTACCAGTTTGTAGGACGGGAAAAACTCTTTTCCGGTACCTATGCCGCAGGAGCACAGGAGCCCTTTTTTCAGCCTTATTGGGTGTCCATGGTTCCCAAAGCGAAGGAAGCATGATTCAAACATTGACCCAATTCTGAAAGCAGCTGTGTGCCCAGCAGTGCACAACTTGCCTCAGAAACTTAAAGCCACTTAAAGCCACTTAAAGCTTCTTAGCATCGGCCTCTCCCTTCCTGCGCCGCTCTCGCGGCCTCCGTGGCGCTGGTTCGGATGGGTTCGCGGAGCTGCTGAGGTTTCATGCAGCAAAGGCCCAACAGAAACTCGGACAGGCACACCTGGCCAAGACCTACCTGGAGCGTGTCTCCGCTGCTTGGACCGAAAAAACAACAACGCAAACACGCGGTATTTGTGTTGCACCGATTTGTTGGTATTTATGTCTTTTGGGGCAAAAAACACAAATACCAACAAATACCATGGTTGTACAGATTTGTGTGTACTAAATAAAGTGTGCCGCAACCATGGCCGCAACACGACTCGTGTGGCTTGAGATGGACGAGCGGATTCAGAGACTTCACGACGTGGATGCAGGCGGAGAGTTCACGGGTGGCGCACCGTCGTTGTTGTTTTTCTCTTTGTCCTCCGTGTCGAATGATATACATATATATATACACTATATATATATACACATAATATATAGATTATATAGTATACGTATTATATATGATTATATTATGTAATAATATACTTCTATAATCCAAATTGCCAACGCAGGACCAGAAGGTTCATTAGGAGGTGTGGATGTATTCATCATTGTGTCCATTCACATGGAATCAACGTCCGTAGCAACTTCAGGGTGTAACTTGGCCGCGGGTGCATCAAATGTTCCCTGCTGGTGGACAGATCATTCCATTCGATCCATTTCATGCAAGAAGTCCATGGCCCCATGGCCCCTCCCACCCAGAAACTGAAGCCACTGGCAAGTGGGGTTTCGATCAACCTGCGGTTTGGACTCCTCACGGCTCACGGTGTGGGTCTCACGGTCTGAGGAGCTGGCAGCACGGGATGTGGCATCGCGGAGTCTTCTGGAAGAGGCTCAGGAGACCACGAAAGGAAAAGGCTCGGGACCACCAAGGTGTATACCTGGATCTTCCAAAAGGCAAACATGTTGCATAGTTGGAAGATCCAGGTATACCCAGACCATCCATGGGACTGGCATACATTGACCCCTTTTCAACCACCCCAAATTGATATATTATTTGACACGTGACACACACACACACATCAGATTATGGCTCAAATGTGAGTTTGTGCGATTGTTTTTTCCCCAAACAGTTTACTGTTAGGGGTTCTCAATTCTTTCTTAAGATATGTCCGCCCTTTGTGTCACTGCTGGTGTCCGCCCTTTTCCGCTGGCCATGTAGCATTTCTAATCCCGAGTACCTATTAATAAACACTCCCCAAAAAAAAAGACACCACGTCCGAAACCCTAAATTCGGTGTATATATTTTTTACATTACCGCCCTTTGAAGCCGCTACTAAACTACCAACATGGTCGACTTGGGGGGTAGTTTCTTTTATTAGGTTCCAAAAACAACCGTAACTGCCCACATCTGTCCGCCCTGTGTATCCACCATGACACGCCGCGTTTACACCAGCAGGCTTTCCTTCCTCCAATGGCACGGACTCACACAAACGCACTTGCCACCGAGGTCGTGCAAAACCGCATGGCACAGCGACATCACCTTTCGAAAGCTTTGGTTGTCAGTCTAATGAATCAGTATTCTAATAAAGGTTTTTGTGGGGGAAAAGGAAGACCCTTCGGTCTGGAAGTTTTTTGTATATTTGATACGAGTTTAACAAAGGATTTTATATAAACGTTTTATGGATTACTTTTTTGTTTTGAAGCTCTTCCCAGGTGACCCTATTTTGGACCCCCCGATTTCAGGGACCCCCTATTAGAAGAAATGTGACCGAGTTTCCTGCTGGTGTCCGCCCTTTTCCGCTGGCCCTGTAGCACTTCTATTCTGAGAGTGAGTTTAGCCAATTTTTAATTTTTTCCAGGCAGGTTCAAGGTCCAAGGTTATCGTAGCCATCAGGCTTAAGGTCCAAGGTCCAGGGTCGGCGGTGCTCTGCATCCTCCTGCCGGGCCTGGAGCCCCAGCCTTTGAAGAGAGAACATGAGCAACAAACTGCACCATCAAATGCTGTCCTTGAACTTTGATACAAAATGTTCGAAACAAAGGTTCCATGCCATGCCTAGTGCACTGGAGTACTAGTCGCTGCCAGTCTCTAACTCTCTCCCTCGCCCCCTCTCTCTCTCTCTCTGTGGGAAGCTCGTCATTGCCACAGAGGTTGGACTTGGGCCCTTCTTTCAGCTCCGCTTTGACACGGGCTGTGAGGCCAGGATTTTGGGGTGGACTCATCGGCTCGTCGGACTCGCTGTTGTTGAAAGGGCTGAGGAGTGAGGTTGAGTTGAGAGGTTCAATGAAGGGTTTGATTTTGACGTGGGAGAGTTGTGAGACCACCGTGGCTGCCTAGCACGTGGGCTCATCCAGCGTTGGTTCACGGTCCGCGGTCCGCGGTCCATTCGTTCACGGTCCGTGGTGGCATGGCAGTGTCGAAGGAGACACCGTCACCAGATGGCTCTCCAAAGGCAGCGGCAGACGATGGAGCACCTGCTGTTGATCCAGCAGCTGCGTTGCCGAGCTTGGTGAAGATGGCGCCTGGGATCTTGAAGCTGCGCTCCGAGGATGTGCATGCTCATTGCCTGCCCCTTGACATTATGGTCTTGTCTGCTTTACTTTATGTCTTCATCTCAGGGTTGTGGGTGTTTCCCTCCAAATCCGCTCTAGACTCTATTATATTGATGCGCCGTTCTATTTTCCAGCTGGTCCCATACCAGCCGAGGGCGATCCGATCCGCCCCAGAGTTCATGAACACGCGGTACGACCCATCGGAGACCTACACATGGGCATTTGCTGGCTTCGACCTTTTGACTTCCAGCTTCTGGCCACAAGGTCACAGGACCGAAGAGGCGATCAACCAGCTATGTGCTAGCTCCTTGGCAAATTACACTGCATCCTCTATCCTCCTCTTACTTTTTGTTTTGGCGGGACTTGCAACATGTTCCTTCTAGTGACGACCTCCCTGCTGGGACTTGGGCCTGCTTCGCCAATCTGCTTCAGGCTTCTCCCGCTTGGATGAGGACTTGGTGCTGGAGGTGGGGGATCTCTTGTCGAAGATCCCTGCAAGGGTCCAGGTGCCACAGAAGTTCCAGGTCGAAGCTTGGCTGGATTTCATTCAGTGTTACTTCGTGTTAGTTCATTTGGCCTTCTGCTATATGCTTTTGGGGGTTGTTGGTGTTGTTGGGGGACAGTGACCCTTTTTCATCCGCCTTGATATGAACTGAGTTGTCCTGCGCTGTTCGCGAGCTCTTGGACCAGTTCGTGCCCTGCGGAGATCACAGGTTGTTCCATGTGCTGCTCCATCCATACACCTTGCACGCTTTGGCCCGTGGATGCCAGCTGACCATGAATGCTCCTCAGCTTGTGCTTAGTTGCTCTTCAAGCAAGGAAACACATGCAGACAAACAGGACCTAGCAGGACAACCATGCATGGAAGGAAGCATGTGGACATCAGCAGAAAGTGAAACGACGCACACGGTCAATGCAACATCAACTCAACGCAACATCACAAATGAGGAAGGGGAGCACAAGCAGGAGAGCAGGGACGACACAGGGAAAACCACAGCAGCGAATAAATAAGGAGATCAAGAACAACAAACAAAACTTTTGTTTGCTTAAAAAAATTGTGTATTTCTTTAGTATTTTTGTTTTCCTTGTGTTGTTGGAATTGTTTTCTTTGTTTTGTTTGTGTTGCGGTTGGTCTGATGTTGTTTGTTTGTTTGTTTGTTTGTTTGTTTGTTTGCTTGTTTGTTTGTTTGTTTGTTTTTTGTTTGTTTTGGCTATGTTTGTTTGTTTTGTGTTTTCTTTGTTTGTTTGTTTGTTTGTTTGTTTGTTCGCCTTCTGTTTGTTTTTTTTGTGTGTGCTTCTTGGTATGTTTTGCTTTCTGCTTGTTTGCCATCTTGCTTGGTGGTCACCTGTGCCCATTGCGCTTGAGGCCGATGACCCCCATTGGTCGAATTGGCCATTGCCATACACATCTGCTGGAGAGCTTGCAGATGTGGGGGTCTACTGTCGCGATTGCTGCCGCTTTGCAAGGAGGTTCATGGAGATCGCGCAGCTGACACGGCATGGCCCTCGAGCATTGCCCATGGCAGCGCAGGCATCTCAGATGCGGACCTTGGAAGAGAGGACAGTGGCTGATGCCTCCAATGGGATTGTTTTCATCTCTTTTCATGGGCTTCATTGTTGGCTTGAAGATATTTGAAGCTAAAGCAATTTCATGTAAAGGTGGAAGGGTTGATGCTTTTGAACCCACTCTTACCCCTGGGACAGGAACTTGAACCTTTTGGACAAGTCCTTCTTTACAGAACGGTTCAGCGAGGATTTCTTGAAGATGGCCCAGCGCTGCGGCATTCGCCTTGTGGTCCAGAACAGTATGCTCATGTAGCCCGCCTAAGACAGCGCTTGGCAAGCTTGACCTTTTGCTGCCACTGTTCAACCCTTCAATGTTTTGGGCATCAGCAAACTTCCCACCAAGGGTCAAGACTTCCATTTATAGGGTACACAGTCCTGTCGACAACTCCTGAGGAGATCTGAGGAGCTCTCAGTGCAGCGCGGTTTGGATCCTGGCATTGGCCAGTTCACTTTCGGGCTGCCAGGGAGTCGACCACCTCACCATCAGAGCCTTTGGCTGTGCAGCGATGGGTACTTCTACACCTTCCAGCTGCGTGAGGCGGAGGTCAGCCATAGAAACTTTGTCACGCCCACGTTGGTCTTGCGAGCTGCTTGGTCCAATTTCGGTGCGGGGCGATGAACTTAAACCAATCCCACAATTGGTGCGGGGCACATAGGTTCACACTCATGTGTGCAGCATGCTGTGTCTTCACTTTTCCTCCTGCTACGCCGAGGGAGAGATCATGAAAGGTGACTTCTCGGAGGCATCAGAAGATTGGCAGTTCAACTACAAGAGGGAGATCGGCTGTGGATGGACCGGCATGCACGCAGACGATTGGAATTTCTTCTTGAATGGCTTCACCTTCGAACCTTGATCTCAAGCCAATGCAGAATTTGGTTGTTTTTTAGGTTAGCAAGAAGGGCTGGGGGAAAAACATGCGGTGCAGCCTACCCCCACGAGGAAGCTGGGATCTTCCTCAAGCGCAAGCCATTGGTCATGAAGTTCACCAGGGAGATGGATTGCACTTGGCGCCCATTCGAGCTGCATTTGGCTCGCTGCAGCAAGTGGGGCAAAGGTGTTGATCGCGGCTTGCGCACTGGCAGGACCAAGGAGCCCATCGGCCAGACTTCCTCAGCTGAACAGGGCTGGGCCAGTCAGGGCTACCCTGACCAGGGAGTCTATGATTGTTGATGGCTTTCAGTGTAGCCAGTTGTGGGGCGAGTGTTGAGGTGATATAGATTTGGTCAAATGGTCTACGGTCCACGGTCCACAAAGCAACAATTCCAACTCACATAGTGGGTTTGTTTGCCTGCACTGAGCCCACATTTTGAGAGCTCACTCCTGTTCCCAGTGCCAGCGGCTGTAGTGTTGCTGTAGTTTCGATCAGTACTGATCACCGACGTTGGGAAAAGGCTGCACGTCACGTCGTTTACCAAACATGGCCAGGTGGCAAGAAGATAGAGATAGGTGCTTCATGTCTGGAGGCGAAGGTCAGGTGTTTGGAAGGCCTTGCCATCACACCAGTCGCGTGCTGTAGTGTTGACCGTCGACGATTCTGAATTCTGAACTGCTTTTGCGGTGACTTGTGGGAGGCGCTGGGCGCGCTGCCGCCTTTCGGACTAGGCGCAGGGTATCCGATCCACTTTTGGCGCTCGACCCATGGCGTGTGGAAACATAACTAGTTGAGGCTTTTGAGTGAGCTTCTTCTTTGAGCATCTATGGGTCAGTGAACCCCATGTTTGGGTCTTTGACGCTGTTGTTTCCATGTGAAGTGCATCATGTGAAGTGCATTCCCTGGA